AAAACAAACACTTTTGATATGCAAAAAGATAAAACAACTGTTCACTTTCTTGTGAATAAAAGTAACGATTTATATATGAAACAACATTGACATGAAAATATCCAGTGACTTTTTACAATTTTTTTTCCTTTCAATTATCTCATGATCAAGGTAACCATGCTGGACATAATCTTCATAAATAATGTACAGAACTCTAGTCAACTTACAATTTCAGCAGCATGAAGCGAAATGGTTGACGGCAAAATTAATTTTAAAATAACCAAAAGCTTTGAAAATACATTTTGAAACCGGCAAATTGTCTAGGTAAAAGTAAAAAATTATTTCGCAGTTTTAAAATTGTTTAATTATTGATAAGCTTCCAAACAATTAAAACCACTTTTAGTGTTGCTTCCGGATGTTAAAATATATCAGTGAATATACTAGTGATTATTTTTTTAAAACAAAGTGTTAATATCCATATACAAGCATTCAGTAAATGAACCGTGTAAAATTCGTCAATTCCAACGCACTATTTAGAAAATGTTATTTTCAAATCCTGAAGGAGAGTAAGGGAAAGACATAAAATAATCAAGATTTCATTTTCAACTGTTTTGCCACCAGCCCCTCCACACTGAACAATTAAAACTTAAAATTAAAAATTAACAGGGGAATGAAATAAATATTACGAGAGCCGACACTCACTTGTTGTCGCTCCATGCATCCCAATTATACATCGGCAGCGTCGGTTATTTTCACGGCTTGCAAACGGCCTGACTCGTACAGCTACTTTCACAGACGACATATGTAGTGTAACCGTGTTTCGTGATTTTCACCGTTGATATCCAATCGAGCAGTTTTGATGACTTCTGATCCCATTCCGTTCACAACCATATTACATCACGGCAGCCCGACTGGGCGCCAAATGGCAAAATGCGCGGCGATTTTCCACAAACTTCGGGCGTAAGGTGATCATAAGGCCCTTCCATACAAGCTATAGACTTCTACACGATGACGGAAGAAAAATAAAAATGTAAAGGAAGTCAAAGCCGCCAAATTTCCAGCTTTCACTCTTCCTCTTCCTCCCTCCCTCCTGGAGTTGTCGCTAGTTTGGAGATGGGGTAACTCCGCTGGAATTTGGACTCACGCATGTAGGCTCAGTCAAATAAACTAAAATAAGATTTGACAACACCATGAATTTCTCCATCGGTTTTTTATTCTATGATTTTTATGAGAAGAGGTATGCAACAAACTACATGTACCCTGGGTGCCAGAGACTGCCGACACTGACATCCAGCAGCCAGAGCAGCAAGAGAGAAAAACATCTCTACCCAGGGGAAGCAAGACAAGCAACGAACTTAGGCCCCTTAATGTTTTTCCCACACCAACCAAAATCACTTTAATGCAAACTGACTATATTGTTAAGTAAAGTTTTACTTACACTTTGTGCAATACAGTTGGGAAAACTAAGCCCACGCAGGAGCCCATTGCCGTGCCCGATTTCCCTTTCAAAGACCTACCATATGCAGACAGAGTATTTGTCACAAGAGTTTTAAAAGTCCTCCTCAAATTAATATCATGTTGTTGTAGTTTTAAAAACATACTGTTTTTTTAAAAAAAGTTTCATCTTGATGAGCAGACAGTGTAGCTTCCAGTCAGATCAGTAAGTGCCGAAGGCAGGGATGCCCCACCGGAATTCGCCCGCCACTCTTCACGTTTGTTTCTCGCTGGTGGTCATGAGTTTATGGTCAGGGGGGGTGAGAAAATGCGGGTGCAGGGTAAGGTACGCACACCTGCCTCGTACCCAGACGTCTCCCTCTCGACAAAAATGTGCGTACCCTTCCCATGGTCCCTTGCGGTTTATCACCAGTCCCTCGCCTCTCCCATGTGAAAAACGAAGCGCCTGAGGAGGAGGCTGCTACGCGCACGAGGTCCTCCCTTGCGATTAATAAATTTTCAATTATTGGGAAACTACTAGAAGATTTTAGCAAGTAGTGAAAGCGACTTTCTTGTCTCCTGGTCAAAGTAAACTACGGAACACTAAAGGGTCCGGCTACTTAAAAAAAATAAAATAATAAATAAGCAAAATGGCGTTTAGCGACAGTTATTTTAAATGAGCGAAGTGCCAGTTTCGCAAGTCCATCAATGCGACAATTTTACATTTTGAGATATTCTCAAAGTCCTCGAGCAAGGAATAACTATAATGAAGAGTTCTAGCCACCAATTTAATTCGGTGGGCAATGCGGAAAATTGTAGCGCAATGGCGCCAGGCTGAAACGTAAGTCATGCCCTGTTTTAAATGTGATACAACGAGCTCATTTTCACGCAAACTTTTGTCGCGCTCTGACTCAATGTCTCAAATACAGCAAAGCCCCTGACTCTTTTTTTTTGTTTTGTTTTGTTTTGTTTTTTTTACTTTATTCGGGAACTCACTGTCCTTTCACGCTCATAGTCAACCATTGTGAACAAAATACCATAGTGCATGAAGGAAGGGCTTGGCGGGAAACTTATGAGGTTAAGCCGTGACATGCTTTTCATGTCCACAACCCAGTCTACCGGCTTTCTAATCATTCACGTAATAGTGAGAGATATCTCTTTGAAATTTTACCACAGCTTATTCGATTAATTCGGATATTACTGAAAAAATTGTCGTTTTTTGGACTCTTCGTGCCGGATACTTCCCTTCTGAATTCATCATGACATCAATTCTGATGGGAGTTATAATCTTTTTCCTTCCTTGTTCGCAAATCGTCTTTTTATCTCCTTCCTTTCCTGTTTTTTTTGCTTCTTTTCTTTTTTAGCCCTTTCCCTTTCCGACGCCTTCTCAGGGTGGCAGGACAAGTGATGAGTGATGAGAAAACATGGCTTTTTCTAATAAGCCAAGCCCCTCCCCTTTCAGTCCTTTCAGGGGAAGAAAATTAATAAGCTTCTCCTCCCCTCCCCCTTATTAATATTCACCAATAAATGATAGACTGTGTTAATCAATCATGACTGTAAAACTTCGTGTGGACTAATTCGGTCTGATCCAGGATGGTTTGAGATTCACCAGCTGGAAGTCTGGATTTCTTTTGGATCCTCGGCTGCATGACCTCCCACGTCCTGCACTTGAGCTTTTCCAATTTGCATTTTAGTTCTTTATGAAGAACTCATACCATCGTCTTTGCTAAATTAAACAAGCCCCACCGTCTCAAATTAGCCTCCCGTCTCTTTAAGCCCCCAACCCCACCCCCCTCAAAGGTGTCTGAAATAATTAAGCCCCTCGGGTGGCTTAATTAAAAGAGGATCTGTAAGCGTCTGTCCAGTTCCTTTAATCTTAATGTGTGGTGATCATTGATCAAAAAAGCAACTGAACAGGTTTCAAAACGTTTCAGCAAAATGCAAACAAGAGACCATGTTGGGAAAAGTAGACGGAACTTGTTTCGTGGTAGTTAGAAAAAAGGCCCTAAAATACACATGAAAGGGATAATTATTGAACCCTTCCAACCGGATCAGTCTACGGTCGAATTCGACTAATGCCGAGTTACCGCCAACCAGGGGGTGACAGAAATTTGTTTGGGAACTAAAACTAAGAGTTCTGTTCTTTTTAAGAAATGTACTGGTATTGCTACTAATTTTCAGCTGCATTTCAGTGCCTTATCAGCTATTTTGCATCGACCCCCTCACAGTATACTTACGATACCCGTTGGACTATCCGACTGTCAGACAATATCCCTTTTGATTCCAATTTTAAATTCTTAAAAAATAAAGAAGCCTTGACTGTACAGCACACAGGAAGGGGCTATAGTGTAGAGGGAGTAGTCGTCTAATGTTTCTCCCTACTTTTTGAGTGCTCTAGCCCCTCCCAAGTGCTTTGCTACAAAAAAAGTATATTTAAGGCTTTCTTACTTGTCTTATGATAAAGAATGCGTTAAATTCTCCACGTATTACTTCCTAGTTTTCAAAACAAACTTGGGCTCCGATTTTTTGTACTCTTATAAAGCAAGCGTTATCATGAACCAATCAGAGTGCGCGTTATATCTGAACAGTTTTTACAACATCGCTTAAACGGCGCTGTAACGTAACGTCGTAGAAATTGGTCAAAATCATTTACACTTCTTTATCGGATCTTTGTTTAGATATTGCTATTTATTCGTCGATACGAATGTTAATTCTCAGTTATTTCTAATGTACAACTTTTTACAAATATGTCTTTTTATTTTGTACTCTATGCGGTAACCAAAAATTCCGAATAAACAAACTTTCCGGATATAAAAATACTGGTACTCATGTTCAAATGACGATCATTTACGCTTAGTTCGACCGCGTGATATTACCACAGGAAGTAATATAGGATTCACTGCGGCTGAGCAATGCAACACAGAGTATTAAAAAGAGACACTATTACTGAGAGGACCAAAGCCAGAGGTTAAAGTAATGTCAAATTTTACAAACTTTATTGAACAAAACTGAAACCGAGGGATTGTTTAATACTGATGAAGAGAAAGCGCTAGCTCTTTTGTCATGCTTTGGTTTCGCTTACTCCGCGTTTCTTTTTGTTTTTGAAACAACAATACAAACCCAACAGCTGATCTCTTAGACTCCCGAGTGTACAAAAAATTTGAAACCACAGAAATCTATAGTTTCAGTTTCGTAAGCTGTACACTCAGCTCTCGCTAAAGACAGATAGCACCGTTCGAAAGTGTCCTCCTTTTAACGAAAGCGCACGAAAATGACTAACGAAAGGTAGGGGTCGGTTCCAGGTGTCCATTATTGGATGCCCTTCGTTCAGGAGGAAAACGTGAGGAAAACGTGGGCAGTTTTCTCGTTAACGGAAATGTACTTAAGTCTCTTGGGCTTTTCCTTTCTGTTTTTACTGAAAGAGTCTGAATGAGGCATTTACGAAGAAACCCGCTTGCTAAAGTGTTCTTTGTTCGCATGAGGAAGTAGACTTTTACAATACAATTTGTCGACAACCAATGAAAACACACGTTAAAAATATACCTCTATTTTATAAAACTACCTGTGATTGGCAGTTGGTAACATGGCCAGCAACCCAACTAAAGATGGCGGATGAAACATCCACTGGAAATCGACTGTGGAATCTTCAGGAACGCTTGAAGCAGGAGCGTCTGTTTGTCAACAAGGAAAAAGCCGAAATATCGAACCTCAATGCAGAAATACTGTCGAGCTGTGAAAGGCTTTATCACTTGTCGTGGATAACCCGGCAACAGTGGAAGATAGTACAGCGGCTAAGGGCTTCACCCGAAGAATGTGGCCAAGCAGTAAATCGGCTGGATTTAGCACGTTTTGTTGACGCTTCAAGGCATCTTGGCTACTTGGAGTCAAAGTATTGGGATTTTTTAAGAGGTCTGAGAGAAAATCCCTCCCTTGTAGCGTCGACTTTGGCTTACGCCGACAAAATCAATTTAGACACTTCACAGCTGATTCGATTGTTGTTGAATTCTCTGTATGGTAACTGTTTGCTTCCTCAGGATGAAAACTATGTTTTATCGCTTATGAAACGCTTGATCGAGCTTAAAGTCTCGGGAGACGAAGGCCCCGAAAATTTCTTTCAGAATCACAGGAATTCTTTTACGTTACTCTTCGGGATTTTAGTAGAGAGCTTGTTCTCCACGAAGTTGTACCTGACTGCTGCCTTGCATGCACCTATCATGCAGGTTCTGTCCGATGATTCCCTCCTCAAGCAACGGTTGCCAATTAAATGTACCAAATTTGTGGAAAACCTCCAGTCCAAACTGTACTGCTTTCCTCAAAGCCTTCGCTGGATCGTTTGTCAGTTTTTCAACACCGTATCATTAAGTGGTATGGTCAATGAAAAAGAAGCAAGATCCATGGTACTAAAGCTCTTGTTTGATTTCCTCGTGTGCCCTGCAATCATTAGACCCGAGCAGTTCGGCATCACCTCCGATGTCCAAATCAGCGAAGTAGCATTGCAGAACCTGCAACAGATTGCTTCTTGTTTGCTTTGCAGCTGTTCGACGGAAAGTGCTGAAACTGCAAGATCTTTAGACTTATTCTCAAGAATCGACCCTGTAAGTATTTACTTCAGCTTGCGGTTTTATTTTTTACACAGAAATTATCTTAATCTTATTTTAAAGTCTAATACCTTAGCAATACTAGTTGATCCATAAACTGGTGCACAAATTAGATGAGATTCAATTTTATTCATGATCATTCTGCAAAAACAGGTCATAAGAAAAAAATACATCTGAACAAATTAATATTCTGTGGAGGAAGTTATATTAAGGTGATAAACTAAGCAGTAACGTTAAGGAAGTCTCGATCTTTTTACCCAAGAACTGCAAAAAAAAAATCTTACTGGTAGAACTCTGTCTAAAAATGAATTTGATGTCTGATTTTCCAAAATTTTTTGGAAGGTTGGCCTTACCTAGACTGTTATTTCAAAGTTGCCAAAACAGGCACGTTCACAATTTTTTTTTTTTAAATACTTCAATCACACCAGAATGAATTTCTCTTACAAATTTAGTGAGCCCAGATGGTTTAAAAAAGCTGAAGGACACTCAGACAATAGTTTTAATAAAATGATAGGGATTATTTTGAATTGATAGGGCTACTGTAGCTCATACATAGCACCAGCTCAACAGGCTCAAACAGAGATTTTTTGTGACTTAAGTTCAGGGCCCCATTGTTCAAAGACCGATTAGCGCTAACCCAGAGTAAAACTTTAGTCCGGATTTCTTTTTTTTCATTCAAAAGCATTTTCTCCAATAATTTCTCTATTCTTCTTAGAGCATCCAATCATCAAATTGAAGAGAAAAAGAATTACAATGAATTTTTGCCTTTAGCTTTCATATCTGAATTCAAATTCCCCACTAACCCCGGGTTATCTCAACCCAGCTTTGAACAACCCAGTCCAGGATTTTTAGAAATAGTAGCATCTTAGAACATATTAATGTCAGTCACTTGTGTTAAATAGTGGCTATCTCATGGGTCACCTGAGCTACTCTTTACACTCTTTTGTTCGACAGAAGATCTTTCTATGTTTCACTAGGCCAGGAAAGGAAGCTTTTTGAAGCAAGACTGACAAGTATATCTTGCTGTTTTGTAGCGACCTTTCTCTTCTGTCACCTTTTGTTTTCATAGGCATGCATTACATCATATTTAGATGCTGTGCTGGAAAACAAAACAGAAGTTGCAGATCTTCCTATTCAAAAGACACTTCCTGGTCTAACCCGTAACTCAGTTCTAATCACAGAGAATGAACTCCATGCCTTGGTAAGTACATACATGTATGTATTACAGAAAGCAGTTTATTTTTCAATGGTGTAGTCAAAAGTTAGAGTAGGAGGGAATCCCCCTTTGTTGTGGTCTTATCTGTATGTCCCACTCTGGATAGGTTGAGTACAAGGCACCTTGAATGGAACCTTGCAGTCTCATTCCTGCCCTTGGGATCAATAATCTCTTATCAGTTCTGAGTCTCACAGTGTTTTCTTAGTTACCAAAATTCAATTTAGCTTCAGACTTTACTTTATTGCTTAGAGCAAAAGTGCATTTTCTATCAAACCACAAGTGGCTCAAAGCACATTCTCTAAAGAGCAAGAGGTAAAACCTTGATTGCTGGTGCTGCACATGCCAGTGTGGGATTTATTTCTGTTTTGGTATCATCCCATTCAGCGTGAAAAGAAGGTAGTGTCTGATAGCCTGGGGCTAGTGGATTTTGCTATCGGGCTAGTGAATTCTGTTTTTAACTTGCCCTATGGGCAAGTAATGTTTTTTGAGGAATTCAAATAACAGAAGAACTGTGACATCAATTCTGCTAGTCAAAAAGTTTCTGGGGCTAGCTGAAATTACGTCTAGGCTAGTAAATGCTAGCTCAATTTGCCCGAATGGCAAGCTGTAAAAATGATTTTCTTTGCACCCTGCCATTCCTCTTGTTTTTATGTTTTCAGACCTTCCCATAAGACGTTTTGTACAACTTATTAAAACTAACTTATTTCAATAACCATTTGTCTGTTTCAAAGACAAGCTTTTTAAGGATGGTTGAGCACAGTGAAGACCACAAGATTATCGTCAACCACAAAGAGTTGAAAGATTTACTGGTTAACTTGCCTCCCCAACCTGACATCCTTGAGGCCACGCCCCCTAAAGATCGGCTCAAAGATGTGGCAAGTAATGACTCTGCACCAGAGCAAAGTCCAAAGCCACCAAAACGACGACATTTTAATTTGGCTTACGCCGACAAAATCAATTTAGACACTTCACAGCTGATTCGATTGTTGTTGAATTCTCTGTATGGTAACTGTTTGCTTCCTCAGGATGAAAACTATGTTTTATCGCTTATGAAACGCTTGATCGAGCTTAAAGTCTCGGGAGACGAAGGCCCCGAAAATTTCTTTCAGAATCACAGGAATTCTTTTACGTTACTCTTCGGGATTTTAGTAGAGAGCTTGTTCTCCACGAAGTTGTACCTGACTGCTGCCTTGCATGCACCTATCATGCAGGTTCTGTCCGATGATTCCCTCCTCAAGCAACGGTTGCCAATTAAATGTACCAAATTTGTGGAAAACCTCCAGTCCAAACTGTACTGCTTTCCTCAAAGCCTTCGCTGGATCGTTTGTCAGTTTTTCAACACCGTATCATTAAGTGGTATGGTCAATGAAAAAGAAGCAAGATCCATGGTACTAAAGCTCTTGTTTGATTTCCTCGTGTGCCCTGCAATCATTAGACCCGAGCAGTTCGGCATCACCTCCGATGTCCAAATCAGCGAAGTAGCATTGCAGAACCTGCAACAGATTGCTTCTTGTTTGCTTTGCAGCTGTTCGACGGAAAGTGCTGAAACTGCAAGATCTTTAGACTTATTCTCAAGAATCGACCCTGTAAGTATTTACTTCAGCTTGCGGTTTTATTTTTTACACAGAAATTATCTTAATCTTATTTTAAAGTCTAATACCTTAGCAATACTAGTTGATCCATAAACTGGTGCACAAATTAGATGAGATTCAATTTTATTCATGATCATTCTGCAAAAACAGGTCATAAGAAAAAAATACATCTGAACAAATTAATATTCTGTGGAGGAAGTTATATTAAGGTGATAAACTAAGCAGTAACGTTAAGGAAGTCTCGATCTTTTTACCCAAGAACTGCAAAAAAAAAATCTTACTGGTAGAACTCTGTCTAAAAATGAATTTGATGTCTGATTTTCCAAAATTTTTTGGAAGGTTGGCCTTACCTAGACTGTTATTTCAAAGTTGCCAAAACAGGCACGTTCACAATTTTTTTTTTTTAAATACTTCAATCACACCAGAATGAATTTCTCTTACAAATTTAGTGAGCCCAGATGGTTTAAAAAAGCTGAAGGACACTCAGACAATAGTTTTAATAAAATGATAGGGATTATTTTGAATTGATAGGGCTACTGTAGCTCATACATAGCACCAGCTCAACAGGCTCAAACAGAGATTTTTTGTGACTTAAGTTCAGGGCCCCATTGTTCAAAGACCGATTAGCGCTAACCCAGAGTAAAACTTTAGTCCGGATTTCTTTTTTTTCATTCAAAAGCATTTTCTCCAATAATTTCTCTATTCTTCTTAGAGCATCCAATCATCAAATTGAAGAGAAAAAGAATTACAATGAATTTTTGCCTTTAGCTTTCATATCTGAATTCAAATTCCCCACTAACCCCGGGTTATCTCAACCCAGCTTTGAACAACCCAGTCCAGGATTTTTAGAAATAGTAGCATCTTAGAACATATTAATGTCAGTCACTTGTGTTAAATAGTGGCTATCTCATGGGTCACCTGAGCTACTCTTTACACTCTTTTGTTCGACAGAAGATCTTTCTATGTTTCACTAGGCCAGGAAAGGAAGCTTTTTGAAGCAAGACTGACAAGTATATCTTGCTGTTTTGTAGCGACCTTTCTCTTCTGTCACCTTTTGTTTTCATAGGCATGCATTACATCATATTTAGATGCTGTGCTGGAAAACAAAACAGAAGTTGCAGATCTTCCTATTCAAAAGACACTTCCTGGTCTAACCCGTAACTCAGTTCTAATCACAGAGAATGAACTCCATGCCTTGGTAAGTACATACATGTATGTGTCACAGAAAGCAGTTTATTTTTGGTGTAGTCAAAAGTTAGAGTAGGAGGGAATCCCCCTTTGTTGTGTTCTTATCTGTATGTTCCACTCTGAAATCATATGGATATAGGTTGAGTACAAGGCACCTTGAATGGAACCTTGCAGTCTCATTCCTGCCCTTTCCCTGTGTACACATCTGGCATTATGAAATTGGGATCCATAATCTCTTATCAGTTCTGAGTCTCTCCATGTTTTTTTAGTTACCAAAATTATCTAGCTTCAGACTTTACTTATTACTAGACCAAAAGTGCACTTGCCATCAAACCACAAGTGGGTCAAACCACATTCTATAAGTTTTAAGGGCAAGAGGTAGAACCCTGATTGCTGGATGTGCTGCATGTGCCAGTATGAGATTTATTACTGTGCTGGTATCATTCCGTTCCTCTTGTTTCTATTTTTGCAGACCATCCCATAAGACTTTTTGTACAACTTATTAAAACTAACTTATTTCAATAAAAATTTGTCTGTTTCAAAGACGAGCTTTTTAAGGATGGTTGATCACAGTGAAGACCACAGGATTATCGTCAACCACAAAGAGTTGAAAGAGTTACTGGTTAACTTGCCTCCCCAACCTGACATCCTTGAGGCCACGCCCCCTAAAGATCGGCTCAAAGATGTGGCAAGTAATGACTCTGCACCAGAGCAAAGTCCAAAGCCACCAAAACGACGACATTTTAAAAAGAAAGATAAACAGTCTCGCAAGCAAAGTCTAGGTGAAGTTCAAGCAGGGGAAACAGAGGGCAAACTTGAAACAAGGCAGATGTCACAGTTTAATTCACTAGCTGTTGTGAACAGATCTGAAGAGTTCAAGAAAGAGTTTCTCAGGAGGTTACCTTTTCTGTTTCAAGAAGGGGAAGATGTCCTAGTAATTTCTCTTGGTTATTCATCCATTGATTGCCCTGGAATGCTCTCTGAAGAGAAGGTAATGATAATAAGTTAGGTGATATTAGTGAATTGAAGCAGGGTCCTCAATTGAATTTTGTACAGCCATTGCTGTGCAACATACAGGTGTAACCCATGGTCAGCTTTTCAGCCACCACGTTTCGCATGTGGAAAGAAGACATCTGCAAGAGGCCTTGGCTGAAATGTACAAATTCAATATGTCGGCCATGTTTCACCACGATTTGGTACTTAATGCTTAAATTAAAGGCAAATATGCTAGTTATTAGCCAGTGATAATAAACTTTTAAAGTTATGCTGTGCTTGTGGTTTACGGTAATTTATTTTCTGCTATGTTGTGGCAATTTGTGCTTAAGATAGTGAGTTGACACTTGATACACTTAAGCGGCGGCAGTGCTATGGGTATAATTATTACCGAATAACTACAACTTTTTGTTGTTCAGGTCCTTGGCATTAAAAATACAAAGAATGAGGTAAAAACAGATAACTCATTCAGAAAGAGAAGCAGTTCAAAGTCAACTCAATTCTACAAGGAAATAAAGTCTGTAATGAGGAAGGAGAGCTTGGATTATCATTCTGATCATGGAAGTGGTGATGGCACTGTCAAGGGTGAACCAGCCTCTTTGGTTTCTACTAATGTTGGTGCAAATGTACCAGAGCCTCTTCATCCAGTGATGGTAGCGGGGATGGACCATTTTGATTTGCTGCACAACAACATCAAAGATAGTTTTACAGGAGCAGATGTCCATGCAGCACCGGATGTGTTAGTGAGGACAAATGGCACGCATGCTGGGAGTATTGATTTGATTGATTTTGGTACAGAAATAACACCTGCGTTCCGCGATCAGCCTGAAGGAAGCCGCGATAGTGCTATCAGTACCAGCAGTAGCACCCGTTTGAGTTCTTTCAGTAGCAATCGTAGCAGTGGGTTGGAGTTTAGCAGGGGTAGCAGCCATTTTGAAGTAGGCCATGACGATATAACAGAAGAAGATTCTGGTTTTGACCTTCTTAGTGCTGAACGCATAGATTCACCCAGTTCTGGATTTCGCCCTCGTTCCAGGGAGGTAGCTGATGGAGTAAAAAGACTAAGTGCAGTAAGCCGTCATGGAAGCACAAGTAGTGGAACAATCACTGGTGCTCAAGGTGAGGGATCCAATCGTGATAGTCAGGCAAGCTTCTTGAGTTTCGGCGATGATTTTCCGGCACAAAGTGGGTCCTCCAGTGCTGCTGATGAGGATCGAGAGACAAGTCAGTCAGGAAAGAAAACTTCTCGTGCTGCTTCCTTTAAACGCCGGTTCAAAAGAAAGTCCAAAATTTCAAAAGGCTCCTTCAATGGCGAGGATGATTTCAGTGAGCTCAGTGGTAAAAAGGACAAAGGCTTCTTCAAAATAATGAAGAAGGGACGCTCAGAGAAGGATCAGAAAGCATCCAAGACAAGTGGTGCAAGGGTGTATGAGAAACTGGCAGAGAAAACACTTGATGCACTAGACATTGATGTTGAGGTGAAAACTACAAAAGGTAAATTTAATCTTGATGTAATAAAAAAGATAGTAGTTCAGTGTTGGTGTCCTGTGGCTAAGGGTGTCAAAGACACCACAAATATAAAGTAATTAATAATATAGTTAATCCTCTATGTGGGACCACCCCTTATATAAGTGACCACCTGTTTTAAGACACCAAAATTTTCCCATCGAAACCCTGTAACTGGAACCTTCGGAGTAAATGATGATCTCTGATGAGAAACTACTTTCACTTTTGCCTCTTTTGCAGCAGCTTGAGCCGAAGTTACTCAGTGCTTCCTGTCACCATGTTTACTTTTGGGGGTGTTGGTTTTATAATATTACTGTTTCGAACCTTTTCTAAGCTTGTCACCTAAAACATTATCTGATCTCCTTATTCGCTTTGTAGGTGGCTACTCAGCATATATGTTACAGGTCAAATTTGATTTCCGGTTAAAATTTGTTAACTTAGGTTGATTCTTAATTCCTTTGTCTTCTAGAACTAGGAGACATTAGAAATTAAGAATCAACCTAGGTTAAATGAAAATTAACCTGAAATCAAATTTGACCTGTAACATATACAAAGAACTTTTAGTGACAACATGGAACTAGACATAATTATTTGTATCTTAGAAATGGCATGACAATAAATTCTCTTCCAAAAATAGATGTGTGTGGACCTCCTGTTGTAAGAGCCCTCCATCACAGGAAAAAATAACAGATTCCCAATATTGGATATTTTAGTGTATCTAAAGAATACCTACAAAAATCCCAAAATTATTTGGCAAAGTGAGACGAGTCCCAACCAGGGAATTCCCAACCAAGTTCCCTGGTTGGGACTTGTCTCACTCTTCCAAATTTGGGATTTTTGTGGGTATTCTTTAATTACCCTAAAATATCCAAAAATGGGAATCTGTTATTTTTTCCTGTGCATTGGGTTTGATGCTCATAAGCAAACATTTCCTGTAAGTGACCACCACTAATTACCACCACTCAAAATGCGCTTTTGGCTGGGTGCTTTTAAGTGTAACCAAAAAAAATATTTGATATTTAATGTAGAAATTCTGTTACTTTTGTAATAGACATAGAAATGATAATAGAAAAGTACACAGCAAAAAAGACAAGCAGGCCAGGACCGTCAGCTCCAGCAGCGAATGATGATGAAGAAGATGCTGGTGAGGAACAGGATGATTTCGTTGATGAAGAAGAGAGGTTTGAAAACTCAAAAAGGAAACTCAGGATGGTGCTATGCCAAGCAGACTTTCAAAATCTTCCATTGCTTCATCCTGATAACAGAGTTCCAGATATAAAGTAGGTGTTCAAGTCCAGACTGATATTATTATTTATTATGTAAACACCAATGAAATACCAAGTGAGCTTTCACACAAAAACTTGATATCTTCACATGTGAAAATATCACTGTTGCCATGGCTTCATAATAAACCGCACCTTTCAGATCAAAAACTATTTAAGTAAAATGGTTTGGGATTTCATTGGTGTTTATATAGTAAATAGAACATTACATGGTCACTTGGAGATACAAAATTTCTCTTCTTGTGTTGAAAAAAATATTTCACCCGTGAGCGCACTCACTCGTGAAATATTTTTCAACACTTGAAGAGATATTTCGTATCTCAATGCGGCCATGTTAAATCCTCTATATCTTACCTTATTGGTTGGTACTTAATTTTACGTGAACTTAAATACCCACAAATAAAGATTCTCATGAAATTCAAACACAGGCAGGAAGGGAAGCACTTGGGAGGGATAAACACTAGGTGTTCTTAATTTTTGAGAGGTGCTGTTTGAGAATAGTTTTTTAAACATACAAAAGGTATAGTGTGGGTGTTGTTTTTTCAAGGACACACAGCAAAAGACCAAGTCAAGAACTGATGACATTCCTTCATGTGCAGCTTGCTGAGGCTATTAATCTTCAGGACAGGTCCCTATCAGCGCAACTGCATGAGACAATAAGAAGTGTTAGGGAGCTGCCATCCCATAGGTAAAATATGTATGATAAATTATGTATTTGTAGGTATTGGCGAAATCTATTTTTACCTTAGTTTGTCTCTGGAATGATAAGAAGATGGCAATGTTGATACTGAGTTTAAAACAAAAAAAATGACATTTGCACGAGACATAAAATCTGACTGCAGGTAATCCATTCAGTTTTACAATTCTGGTAGGTCAAGGCTGAGGCTTGTTTCACACGGTAACAAACGTCTGTGCATTTAGGTGATCTGTTCACACAGACCCATGCTAACTGTATGAAAATTTATACACATAATTGTTCTAAAATGAATGCCAAAATAGAAGTCCAGTGCAGTTGAGAATTATTTCCACCGGCATGGTATGAACAGTCCTGAACAACTTCATCATCTTAAATGTTTAAAGTAGCAAGGATACATTTGTGTGAATGGGTAGTAACTCATCATCCAGTACTGTGTGAAGGTAACTTGAGTTAACAAGCCTAGTACAAAGCCAATGCTACATGTACGAGGTGTGTAAAACTAAGAACCTTCTATTTACACGCAAAAGAAAACTCATTTTCTTATTTCACATACCTGTATAGCAGGGTAGTAACTACATGTTATGTAATAACTCAGATTTAGTTTTTTATGCGTTTGTTATCACGCCATGACAGATCTGTCATGCCTTAAAACAGTTCACCATGTTTCAGCATTAAGTATTCTTTTCACAGCTGTTCTAAACTGTTAGATGCTCTAGAAGAGGAGTACAAGTCAAGGTCGCCATACCTGGCATATCTAATCAATGCCCATCAAGGTTTATTAGCAACGCATTCTCACTTGGAGAGATTAGTGGATAGAGTGGAAAGGTAACGATGTCTGACTCTCTTTGCTTTGTCTAGAAAAGTGGCTAGATTTCAGAATATCCTGTGTTCATATTTCAAAACTGCAGTCCTCTTTATCCTTTCAAAAATTACTAGTCCCGCAATGGGGATGCCATCATGCAAGATGTAAATAAACAAGAATTAAATTAATAACATTAAAAAAATGTCCTACAATAGATAAAAGTGATAAAAGAATATCTACAGGATTGACTGTTGTTCTTTAGTGGCTAAAATACTCAATAGTAGCATTAATTTCTGACTCAGAAACTCAAGTAAGAATGATTGATCCTCACACTATCACATTTGTCCACAGGCTAACAGAGATAATGTGTAACTTCTACGGTCATGTGACTGTTGGCCCAGGAATTCTTGACTTTTATTGACTTGGCATTACACTGTAAATATATTTTGTCCAGAGGAATGAGGAATGTGATCATTTGTTTTACTCAATTAGTCTTACTTTTTTTAAGACCAAGAGCAATAACCACCTCTACTTATTGGTATTCCTCTTTGTTCTGTGTCTTTGAGAACAAAATTTTGGTTTTTGAGATGGCGGGAGCAATGTTTTTGTCCTGTTGGAAGTGGGCTGTATACTCCAAAATTGCTTTCTGGGAATGCACACTTAACAATATAATAGAAACTATAAAACTCCTGTAAGTCCTCTCTGTGGGGCTAATGTGATTCGGTAGGCATGCAAATCCATTTCTCGTTATCAGTGATGGCTGTTAGATTTCACACACCACATTATGCCACAATTTTTGTTTTTTAGAGATATTTCCTTACTGTACACATTAATAGCTTATTTTTTCTTTGCAATTTGAAACGAGAAGGAACTGGAACCAAAGGGCATCCCGCAATGGTTTGTGGGATTGTTACTGGGGATTCACCAGTCAGCTATTGGTCAATTTTTCCCCTGTCCCTGGTAACAGTCCCAGAAGTCTTTGCGAAAGTTAACTCGACCCAGTTTCCTTCTCCTTTGTTAAGTGGCGAATGTTGTTCCTAGTTTTTTTTCATCTCCCCACCCCTGAAGGAGCAAGGGAAGATCACTCCAGGGGAGAGGTGGAGGGGAAGGCAGAAAGAAGAGATACCTTGAGGACAAGATTGATTCTTTTGTTCTTTCTCCAACAGGGACAAAATAATTTGCCGAAATTACTTCATTATGACTTGTGTGAAGCTGTTTCTTGAGTCCAAAGAGAAGGGAGAGATCAATGCTTTCACCTCCGATTTTCAGTCTTTACCCACACCAGATGAAAAGGTTTGCAAAGGATAATTTCATGTAGCATTTCAAACTTTAATGTAGACCTGGTCTTGCTTGCCTTTTTGCAGTCAAACATGATAAAAAGGACGTAACAACTTAATGATTTCTGTGTTTTTAGTTTGTGGACAAGTACTTTCAAATGGTTTCTTTTTAAGGGAATTTTGCCTATAGAATCAAAAGGAGAAACCACTATGTACCTCATAGCTCTCAAAACTTTAATTACTGCTCAGTAGCTTTTACTTGAATGGTGGCGCTAATAAAAATATCTGCAGAAGTTCACCTCAGTCTTTGGCATAATTTTAAAACTTAGCGTGTTTGTTATTGTGAAATGCAATCAAAAAACCTATTTTGTTATTCATTTTTTCAGTGTGATTTGCTTGAAGATTTCCTGGAGAAGTTAGCTGATGAAATGAGAAAGCATCCCATTTGGACAGGTACAGTGTTTTTTACGCTCATGTAGGACGGTTGCATACTCGTTCCTAGTCTCTCCTCAGTCAAATTTGGTGAAGACACATTACATCAAGGGAAGCCTTCATCCATCCCAGGGCCCTTTCCCAGGCATTTTGATGCTTATTCTTTCGACAACAATAGTCAATCAATGAGTACGTTTCTTAGTTTCTAGTCAACCAATCAAAAACCAGGACATTCATCGACCTAAAAATAACTAGAAAACTTGAGATTTTTCCCACGAAAAAGCATAATCGGTGCACCCTACACTACTCGAACAAGTTTGCAAGTAAGGTAAGTAGTACTCTTAGCTACTTGATGCTGTAGAAACTAAGATGCACTCCAGCTATGCCGAGAGTCTCAGTGATGCAAAACACTGTGCCCTTTCACGTTATCACTATGTGTGCCAGTGTTATGAAGCCTTTTTTATGAAATTGATCGACAGGTGCAAGTGAAGAGCAGCTGCAAGACACCTTTGTGGCAACGGAACGAGCTATCATGAGCAGTATCTTCAAATACGCATTTTACCCAAATGGTGAAGTGGACATGGAAAGAGATAGGTGAAGAATTCTGTTGTTGACGCAATGAAACAGCCTTGCCTGTTTAGAGTATCACTATGTGTTACAGTATTAACCCTTCCAATCCCAAAGTGAATGATATGATAGAGTCTAGTTTTTTGTCTGCGATGTAAACATTCAAATGAAACTTACGTCTTCAGTGGTACTTTCACTCAGTATTGCTTGATTGTCTAGTACGTGCCTCTAGCATTTGAGGTTGTGGCTGTGGTGTGAACTTTCAAGTGAAATCTCTTTGGCAGCACTTTCTCATGGCAGTATAAGTTTTCAGAATTTTACAAAATGAAATTTGGAAATTTTGTTGAATTAATCAATTTTGACTTTGGCGATTTTAGCACTGAAAGGGTTTAACACCAAAGAAAAGTGTCTTTGTTTCTGTACGGTCAAAATGTCTTTTTTTTTAAAAATATCGCTAGGCCCCCATGCAGGAGTTAATTGCATCAGCGCTCAGTACTAAATAAACGGCTGCACAAGAGAATACTAATACAGAGTAAGCAGTATAAATATTTTGTCGAAATATCCAAGTGTTTAATACACGAATAGAAAATAGCAGAGGTAATCCTTTCTCAAGCGGTATGGTTGGCTAAAACAGAGATGTTGAAGGCTGTCGGTCTCATTTGTATCCCTATTATTGTTATTGCCCATTTTTAATTATTTGTTCCTCAAATTTCAGAACATTTTATGAACACGTGACCAACCTACAGAAGAAGATTCATCTTAACCACAAGGCTGTGCGGGTGGCAAAGGTGTGTTTTACCTACACATGAATCGAGAACTGTAGTGTGACGGATATGTGACGAAATTTCATCTCCTTAGACACGCTAGGAGACTTTCCTTCGTCCTGTCAACAACTGACCTCACATTGTTGTTGGCTCCTCCTGCAGAGGGTTTGGGGGATTTTCGTCTGTAGTCGCAACTCAAAGAAATGGGCCTTCCCACGTGCCTTTGCGCTTTTTATAATCTTCCCGATGCATACCTGAAATTCCCATGACCGCTTGTGCCGCAACTATCACAAGAAAAATCAAGGATGTCTTGGTACGAGGCAGGGCAACATGGCTATATCAGCTGAATCCGCGATGGTAACTGTCTGAAATGCCATTAATTCTTTGTAATACTGTTTGTCTTTTTTGTGCTGCTGATAGATGTACCGGAAAGAGGCGCCATGGGAGTCTGCTCAGAAGGAGTTACTCAAGATTAACGCCTACAAGGTAATTACTGGTACTGAAATTTGTTTGCTATTTGATAATTGAAATTCATGCGAAATAAACAATCGTTACCTGTCGGTGGTGAGTATTCCTTTTAACTGCTGTAAATGCAGTGTCATTAAATATGAATAAATCACAAAACCCGGAGATTTACTCAAAATGACGAAAAGAATTATCGATTTCTTTTGTCTTTCCGCTTAGACGCCCACTGACAAACTGAAGTGCGTCAATCGATGCTGCGCCACTATTATGAACCTCCTGTGTATGGCGAGTGAGACGAGCGTACCTGGGGCTGACGAATTCGTTCCAGCACTGGTTTATGTAGTGATCCACGCCAATCCTCCTGGGCTTCTCTCCACGGTGCAGTATATAACTAACTTCTACGAAGAACAGCTTAGTGGCGAAGAGGCCTACTATTGGATGCAGTTTTGTGCCGCCATTGCCTTCATCAAAACTTTGAGATAAAAAAAGAAGGATTCTCTACAAATATCGCCACTTGTACGAAAGGTTATTAAAAGCCCTCAAGGAGGTTGATTTGACCATGCCTTCGTGGATTTCTTAGGGCTTAGCCCTGTTTCAAGTCCTCTACAGCGAAGAAATGGATCTTTCAAGTTTGACTTTGCAAAGATAATGTGTTTTAATCATACACGACAAATGACCAATCAGACAATAACGCCAATGCACTTGATATTTCTCGACCAATGAGGATTTGACGTGATTTAAACTTTTGCTGAGGATTAGAAGTTTGAAAGCCATGGATCAAGCCATGTGGACGAAAGGCTTTATAAAGTGCGTCTTTTAAACTATACATTAATTTGTTTTTGTATGTAGTTAATTTTTCAGATGTTTAATATAATCTTCAAGATGTTGGGTCAGTGTTAGGTGGTCACTAAAGACCTTTTAAGTACTTAGAAATTGAATTTAACTTAGAAAAATAACTTTGGGGAATATGTTTTCTATGTTTTCTAAACGAACTATTGTATTGTGTGCTTGTCATTGGGTTTCCGGTTTGGTGCCGCCGGTCTGCTGTAGACTTACGTCACAAGTGACGTCACATCACAGGTGACGTCAGTAAATGCAATGGAAACGTTAACCAATTTTTGCATTTCCCATAGTACACCTCGTTTTCCCCCAAAATTTTGCATAGGCATTGTCTTCAATTTCTCTTGGGACAACTGGAAATACCCAAGAGGAATTGTACACAATGGTTACTAGATGCAAAATTTTGGGGGGTAAGCGAGATGTATTATGGGTAATGTGAAAATGGTGGATTATCTTTATCAATAAAAACCGACTACGAAGTGAAACATTTCTTCGGAATGAAGTGCGGGATCTTTTTCTTGCCTGCAACTATTTTTGTAAGCCAAGGCTATCTGTCAAATGCATTAGCAGCTCGAACTTGCAAGTGTATTTGCGTTGAATTTGAGTAGACGGGTTGCTTTTATATCTCTGCGTATGGCCTAGCTCTATTTTTTTATGGGGTGAAATGAAAATTGGGCTGTGTAAAAAGGATTGTAGAATTAAGCAGCATTTTACGTTAGAATCAGATAGTCGAGATAGAATAAGTCGTCAAATAGCATGTAAAAAGAAGAGAATTTGAAATGTATAGATAAGTAAGTTGAAATACAATGTAAACTTGCAATGATGGTTACAGAAATGTAAAAAAAAACTCCAAAATAGATATCGTGTTGAAAATCAGGTCGGTTAATAATTAATTGTTTCAATGCTGAACTGGGAAATTTAAAATTTTACTTCCCTGTTTTACAATAATCTCGATATCTTGTATGCCATAACGTTTAAGTGGAGAGTAAGAGACACTACAACGGCGGGGGCAGTAAAACATCACTTAAAGATGAATTCACCTTCATTCATTCAACTCTTCTACGGCCATGCATTTTAATTCTAAAAGTTGCAAAAAACTTTCGAGAAACTTTCTTTCGAGGCGTTGAATTAATTAGGGTTGAAGTGATGTAGTCACGTTAAACGTGACGTCATAATGATATTCAAAAAGAAATTCAAAATGGGGTAGGAATGGTTGATTACAACTAAGCTTTAACCAGGTGTAAATGTTTGTTATACCGTACGAATGTTTTCCGTGGCAGGAAAGGAGAGAATTTTTAATTTCTTAAAAAGTCATTAACAGGTGAAAAGTGTCAGCTTACCTATTTTGCTTAATTACTAATTAAATAAAAACGTGAGTCAACCATTCCGGCCAGATTCAAGCAAGAAATGATGATGCAATAAAAAAACACTGTATTTAATCAAGAGCCATAATATTATGGCTCTTGATTTAATATATACTGTGTGGCATCTCGCCATCCCATTTTTAGTTCTCTGTTCTTTTCTGGACTCGACCATAAGTGGTCACGTGACACAGATATCTGATTTCTTACGACAGGTTACCGGTTTTTCCGAGGTTGCCAAATTTTGAAAGGTTCTGATAAATTTTCAAAGTTATGATCATTATAACAGTTTATGCAAATTGGCCTCAGGCCATGCTTGAGCAATTGTGAACAAAGTAAAAGTTTATATATTTTTCTGGTAATCAACAATCTGTTATCTCTTTCCTAAAAATTAAGAACCTAATTCAGAACCTACTTAGCCTAAATTACCATACGTACCCCAAAATACAAGAACCTATTTTGCCAGACTTTAAAAAATGCAGGTTTTTTTATCAGCGGGTGTTTACTATCAATGTTGGGGCGGGGACGAGTCAGATTTCTGATGCAATAAGGGGGAGAAAAACTGCCATTAAGCTTAATATGTCTGACAAATTACCTTCTCGGTCTTGAGTAAAGCGCTTGTTGCTTATTTTTCTGTGCTTTTCTTCGAAGCCAGAACACCATTAGAAAGAAAACCAAAAGGAAGACAGCGACTCCTGCCACCAAACCGGCATTCTGCAAAGCAGACAGGCTGCCGCTCAAGGAAGGTGTGGTTATTCCATCTCGTGAAAGAACATAGTCTAAGATCGCGCGCGCGTAGCGCTTGGTAATTATGTTTAATTATGGTGGCCGAGTAGCGAAGTCATACGTACATTTTCATATCATCGTCGGGAAAATATTTTCCTTTCAAGATCGAAGTCATGATGATTTATAAGTCTTTACCACAACTAGTTTAACGATTTGAATACACCACGTGAGACAGAGAGTGATTACATGAGGTTAATGAAATTCAGTTTATATCTCAATATCATCATTGAAGAAAAGTGCGTTCATTCTTAAGTTTTTCATTCGTCAAATTAAGAAACTGCTGACGCGATTTCCATCTTCTGTCTCTCGGCTCATTCTCGACAGAAACTTACGTTCACAGCACTAGCAGGCAGATTTGATTAGTTTGTTCTCTAGTTTGGAGCAACTTGGGTATATCAAATGCATTTTTACATGGATGGACGAAAAAGAATTCCGTAGATTTTGAACTGGACGAAGCAATTCAGAAACTAAATAGTCTCTGACTTGAGGATATTTTTCTTTGGGTTCAGCAAACGACAATTCTTCAGATATGTTTTCTAAACTACCTTGCTTTATGTGACTAAATTGAATTTCAAACTTGAATGCGCGTTTAGACTCCGCTCTCTGTTTAGGAGGAAACAATTACTGATTTCCGACATTTATACCATACCCACTTCTCTTATGACTAATCCACGGAAAGGCGCAAGAGAAGAAAAGAAATAACAAATAACTACTGAGTTCCGAGGTCTAATAACCCATTCAAAACAATAGAAAGGTGCATTTAAACAAATTGAAGATGATGGAGAAGAAGTGGAAGATCGGTCCTTCCTAGTGGAAGGTTTAAGTACTGTTTCACCCCTTTTCTCATACAAGAGAAAATTCAAAATTCGAATTCAGTCTACTTCGCTTGGGTATATTTTTCGCGCGTATACTTGATTTCAGTCCAGGGAGCGGGTGGCTGAGCGTTGAATCCATTCATTATTACAATGAAAAAATAACTTTCTAAACATTTTCACACAAAGAGAAATAAAGAGATTGCAATTGCATGCGATGGATAAAAATCACTTCATTTCCAAGAAGAAACCAATGGTGGCCATTCATTTGAAGACGTCTAGTACTTAAGATTACTGATAACCGGATTTTAGTACCCTTTTGAATTTTCGTCATTTCTATAAAGGATAATGATTGAACTTCAAGGCCTACGCGCTCGGTCGTTATTTTTAAGAGGTCCGAGGACGGAAGGAATCACATCTGATTTAATGCGCCTTTCCATTGTTTTAGATCCAACCATTATTGCGTGTCCATTAAAGAGGAAAAGCAGATCATTATTTTAAATTATGATCTGCTGTTCCACTTTAGTGAGCTACTCTTTATTGAAAATTAAATAATAAGCTTTTCAAAACAATGGAAAGACCAAAAAGCAATATAAAAACCATAGTTTTTTTGTTGAGTCTTAGTTTATCAGGTTGCATTTGAAAGATCCAAAACAAAAAAGGGCAGGAAGAGCTCTGTGCAAATGTGATGAGGCCGATATTCCCAGAAATTTCGTCAGGGACAAATTGAAGCTTCTTGCTTTTAGTTTCATGATTTTTAGTACCCTTACGGTTGCATTTCGTAAACTTTGATTTTATGTGAGTTACAATACAAGTTATATAAGTAAAGAGATAATGTTGAAACGCTTGAATTTGTAGACCCTTTGCAAAGGTTGCTGCATAAAATTTGAACTTCTAAAAGGCAATTAATTTACCAGTTGGGAATTCCGTTTAAGGACAAACTTAGTCGATGGCCCAACTACGAACCGCCTTACCTTACAACGTTTTACATCACAGAAACGATAGTTATGAAGTTAAATGATTACCTCTCGGTACACTAAACGTCAACCAAAGTTTCAGTCCGGTTTCAGTTTCAGCCTATCAATCTATAGTTTAATTTTGCCTTATATAACATGGTGAACAACTCTCAAACTGGATCGAGTTCCCACGACCCCCTAAGACGTTCTCGCAGTGAGATTGGTTTGGAATTGGCCTTGGCCATTCTTATTTGCCTTATCTCCTTCCTCGACAACTTTTTAGTCGTCTATGTCGTCCATAAAGACTCCAGACTCAAGAGCTTAACGAATGTATTCATCCAAAATCTGGCATTGACGGACATTTCCATGGCAACGCTGCACATGCCCTTTTGGGTAATAAGCCTGTATACAGGGACTTGGATTTTTAGCGAGAGGTTGTGTGAGATTCAAGCTGTGATTAATTGTACGTTAGGAGTTGCCTCTATCCTGAATATGGGACTTATGGCCTTTAACCGATATAGTCCAGACTTTTCCCGAGCAAGAGAAAGGCACGATTCTACTGCGCCCTGGTATGGATGGCTTCTTTGCTTCTTGCAACACCGCCATTATACGGCTGGGGCAATTTGGCCTACCATCCTCTCTTTGCTATCTGCACTTTTAATTGGACAGCAGGGGATATTACATGGGCCATGATTACTGTAAGCAGAGTGATCAACGGTGAACAGTTTCAATATTTTACTCCTACTACAAGATTTATAAGACTCTTAAAGAAAACACTCGAAATCTAAATGCCCACAGCATAGAAGATGCAGCGGCCTCATCAAGACGTCCTGCAACTGATATCAGACTCTTAAAAACTAGTTTCACGGTCATTTGTGTATTTCTTGTAACATGGGGACCAGTGACTGCTGTAGTGATTGTTGAGACCACTGGGAGCCTTATCCCCAGGGAGATTTTTACGGCAGCTATTTACCTCATGTTCATTAGTAGTTTAGTAAATCCAATTATATACGGGATTATGAATCCGCCTTTCCAAGCGGCCTTCAAAAGGGCTTTGAATTTTGGTCGTTATGGCAACAACCAAAAAAAAGAGAGTTCTACAGGAAATAGAGACAAGCCTTGAAGCCGACCTCGATCTCTGAGGCAATAGGAAGGCTCAGAATAGGCCATTTGCGCGATGGCGTCATATTACTACTAGTACTACCAGAATCCATTTCGTGTTTCCTTTCATATTTAGAATTGAATAATCCCTGCGAGGTTTGAGTAACAATTTTCCCGGCGAGAGGATGGATAGAGCATGTGCAACCATGGTAACGCCATGGTTGAAGGGTAAACACGGTTTCCAGCCATGGTGTACTATGGTTTGGCAGTGATATAACCAAGGTTTGACCATGGTCAACCATGGTCAAACTGCTCTGGCATAGGCAGGGATCAGCCATGGTTGACCATGGTAAAGGGACATGTTGGACCATAGTAAGCCCCAATTTGCACAAGAAAGGGAGTCCCTTAAGGATTCTGGTAGTAGTTGGTAGTAGTAGTAGTCAAAAGATGGCGTCATCGTGGAAATAGCCTCCGAGCCTGCAGAATAGCCGAGAAAGAAAGAAAGAGTTTTAACTTAGAGTTTAATTAGAAAGTATTTTACAAGAAGGAAATGAGAGTAAGAAGGGAACGTGGTGCTCTGTATATAAACATTGCCTTTCTTTAATTAAATGTAGGTAAATATTGTTCTAGAACCCAGTAAAGAAGTTATATCTAATTTTCCTATTCGATATTCAAGGATCACTATAAGATCTTGGGAATTTACCGACCTNGAGAGTTCTACAGGAAATAGAGACAAGCCTTGAAGCCGACCTCGATCTCTGAGGCAATAGGAAGGCTCAGAATAGGCCATTTGCGCGATGGCGTCATATTACTACTAGTACTACCAGAATCCATTTCGTGTTTCCTTTCATATTTAGAATTGAATAATCCCTGCGAGGTTTGAGTAACAATTTTCCCGGCGAGAGGATGGATAGAGCATGTGCAACCATGGTAACGCCATGGTTGAAGGGTAAACACGGTTTCCAGCCATGGTGTACTATGGTTTGGCAGTGATATAACCAAGGTTTGACCATGGTCAACCATGGTCAAACTGCTCTGGCATAGGCAGGGATCAGCCATGGTTGACCACGGTAAAGGGACATGTTGGACCATAGTAAGCCCCAATTTGCACAAGAAAGGGAGTCCCTTAAGGATTCTGGTAGTAGTTGGTAGTAGTAGTAGTCAAAAGATGGCGTCATCGTGGAAATAGCCTCCGAGCCTGCAGAATAGCCGAGAAAGAAAGAAAGAGTTTTAACTTAGAGTTTAATTAGAAAGTATTTTACAAGAAGGAAATGAGAGTAAGAAGGGAACGTGGTGCTCTGTATATAAACATTGCCTTTCTTTAATTAAATGTAGGTAAATATTGTTCTAGAACCCAGTAAAGAAGTTATATCTAATTTTCCTATTCGATATTCAAGGATCACTATAAGATCTTGGGAATTTACCGACCTAACCCTCCCCTAACCCAACGGTGACTGCGTAACTGTTAGACCTCAAGGCCAGAAACCCTGCGTTCGCCTTGATAAGAACATTGAACACTTATTAATTGGTAACTGAACGTTTGGAATGTATTTTGTTATTACTGTGAAAAAGGTACATTAAAAATATTTAACTTTCTCACAACAACAGGAAGAAACTACTTGCATGCGATTAATAAAATCACATTGTTACCAACAAAGCCGAAGACAAAAGAGCTTTTTAACTTGGACGTTTTGTTTCCTTACTTCTGACCGGGTGATGTTACCCCAAAGAACAGTTTCTTCCAAATTTAGTCCTATCCTCGTGCATATGTACGCAAAATTTCTGAAAAGACAAAAGGTTAAATCCCTTGAGAACATCATGTGGTCTGATTTGGGAAAACAAGAGATACAAGCTCGGGCCCTTTATTAGAAGGCAATTGTTGACTACAAATTAATGATGAAGACCTATACATGGGGAGCAGGCTAATTTGTTGAGATCATCTTTAAGATGATGTTACACGGCCCGGGACGATTCGCAACGACGACTTGTAGCGCAACATAGCGTTGCAATATTGGAACAATGTTATAACCATTCGAAACAATGTCGCAACAATGTTGCAACGCTGTGTTGCGCTAAAATCAACTTAAGTGCTTCAGGCGTGCACGAATTCATGGGAAGCGACGAAAGGAATGGCAAATACCTCAGTCCGTCCACTACCCCTCTAGTCTCCCTTGCAGCCGTTTTTTGGATGTCACGCAACGCTCCCCGGATCGTTGCGTGACATCAAAAAACGGCTGCGAGGGAGACTACTACCCCTCCCACTTCCAGAAAAACCGTTCTTTTGTCAAAATTACAAATGTAACAATGAGCGGTGTAGGAGGGTTTCGGTGCTTGCGAGCAAAGTAGATGACGTAAGTGTGACGTTAACTATCAAAATTGACCAATTATAGGGCATATCACGAGCCGGAATGCGGTATTGAAAACAAACTTCCCTGTCTCTCCCCAACCCCAACGCAGTTTTCTCGTTTCGCTCTGCCTACTATCTGGGAGCCTGGAAGAGACTAACTCGTTTTCATAACTCCCCACGGGACAACTTCCATGGGACTTGTTAATCCCAAAATAACATGGGTACAAGACTGGGTACAAGCCTGGGGGAAGAAAAATGCACATCATTTTGAGAACTTTTCATCTTATCAGAAGTTTAATCATCAACTACAAAGGCGATGTTTTTAAAACCGGAGTCTACTACTACGATAAAATTATAATCTGTGTACATTGACATTTATATTCCTTAGTTTCATGAAGGGCAACAAAATACGCTTGAATGCTCTCGGCAACACAAAATAACTTTGCCCTCTAACACGGCATACAAGTTTTTTTATATTATTTTAATATCATAATAACTATTCCGTATTCATATTATTGGGTTTCTCTAATCTTATTTCGTTATCTATATATTCCTGTTGGTTGTGCATGGCCTTCGAAAACGCAAGCTACCTCGCGGTACAGTACAGTGTTAGGCAAGACGACATGGGTTTTTCGAGACTCGAAACCTATGGATTACCTACACACTAACAACAATGGATGAAACGAATTTGAACAATCCGGCTGATAAATCCAAGATTAAAAATTAATGCCTCCCGCTTCAGTATGACTTTTTAATAATTAGACTTCAGGTTAATTGCATACACTCGCCAACACCAATAATCCCGACTTAATATTGTTAACTCGAAAAAATATATGTGTGTGTCAATCTTCGTTGTCGTTGATGTCGATCGTTAATAAAAAGTTCTGAATAGGGTTTACTGACAACCAAGAAAGGAATTATATAATCAAAAATTCCTTCAAAATGTACTCCTATTGGAATTAAACGTTATTTTATACACACTAGAATTTGGTTGTCAAACAAACGCACAGCAAAGTAAGCCAACTATAAAAGCGGAGTCGAAAAGCAAACATACATCAGCTTGTATTGTTACAAGTGCCTTCAACAGCCCAATTTACAAGAACAAGTTTTCGTAGACAAGCAAAGGGTTTAATCGAGTAAAAGGGAAAACTTGACATTTTTTGCCAGTTCACACGGGAAAAAACGTGTCGGAAAAATAAGCACTCGCCGAAAATAAGGCTCGACACTGGATTTCTTTGCACCAACAAACAACTCTCCCGAAACGAACCACTTTGTTCTAATTTCCGAGCTCCAAAGGTTAAGAAAAGCAACCAGTCACCGTAAGTTACCGTAATTTCACAAACGTCATCTAAGCAAAACTCCTTAAATTTTAGTTCTCAGTTTAAAAAGATAAAAAACGTCCCCACTAAAAACCGGTATTAAACGGCTGCATTTCGCGAAGGTGACCGAAGAAAAAATTCTTACAACCAAATCGACATGGCCACAACATCTAGTCACGAAAGCCGATCATAATAAAATAAAAGCGTTTACACCGTCCCCTAGGTAACCACGTACCTTAGGGGCTCGACTTTTTTCGACAACACTGCAATTTTATCCAGCCAAAAACTCAAAAATCATCTTTAAATATGCAGCTTAACTATTCCTTGCTTTCCAAACTCCAAGGCGGCAATTCAATTGAAATTCGGCAGGAAAACTTCTAGATTTACATATGGTGTGTACATCATTAAGGCCACGACCTTGTCCAAAGCTAACCTTACTCCTTGAAATAAGAATTGCCAGAAAGAAACGAAATGAAGGATAAATGAAATATAACGGCTTGACAATTAAATCAAATTTTGAAAGTTCCCTACTACTTATTTTGCTCCCTATTTCGAAATTTCTGCTGTTCTTGACGAGTTTTGAGGTCCTCCATTCTAATAATCTACCTAATTTTAGGCAATTTTAATGGTAAACATATTAGATGTAAAACAGTTCGGTTCCTAATCAAGTGTTGGAAGAGAGCTCAGAGGGAAGACACGTGACCGACGAAAAGCGCGGGGAAACACGTAAAAGAAAGTCAAGATAGATGTAAGTCTTTCTTCTGATTGGTCGACGAAATGGCACGAGTTTTTACTAGCCAATCATATTGTCCATCACACGTTATAAGTACACAAAACTAGTATTTTGGAAAATCGACTGGAAATTGCTCCGTCACTGCTGATATTAAATAAGGTAATTAAATCAAGTCATATCAACAGGTTTACCATCTTCAGGCCACTGAAGCGAAAAATGGCACAAATAATAATATTTTTATATCCTATTATCCTCTAACCCTCCAATCCTTTTAAGCACCAAGGTCGCCAGGTTAACAAACTTCAGATATTTAAGCAAAGATATGGTTACCTGGACTTTTTTTAAGTTGAAAGACTTTCTATTTGTCTCGAATATCATGTTAAATCAGCTTTAGCCGGTGTGGCTTGTACAATGGCAAACAGGGCATTCATTCACTGAAGCCTCTCTCACACATGTCAGCACTAAAATTAAACCTTCTCTTGGCTTTATACCTCTGCAATGTGTTAACCCTACGTTTTCAACATTAATCACTGATATTAGACTGATATTGCGACCTAGTATTTGCCTTCGATTCTTATAACATAAATCATTCTGCCAAATCCACGAAAGGCTCCTCCATTTATGCCTTTTGTCTGCATCGTGCTTCCTTCCGCTTCTCACATCTTTGTTCGTTTCGAGGGCGGCTCATCCCGAGATCTGTCATTTCCCCGCGAATCAAAATCAGCATTAGCCATATCACTGAGTCCCTGGAGACTAGAGAACTCCGGGCCCCCCTGATCATCTTTGTCTTCTTGCGAGTCTGCGGGTGAATTACTTCGGCTTCCTGCATGTGAATCAAGAAAGCTAACTTTAAAAACAACAAAACATAGCACTGACATCCTTTAAAAAGAAATCGTAATACAACGGCTTGTTGAACCGAGAAAATTCTTGAAATAAAGAATTTTACTTGTAAGGGAAGCCCGGATGGAGCAGCGGTGAACGCACTTGCTCCCCACCCCTCCCCTATGTGGACCGGGTTCAAGTCCCGAACGAACTAATCGCACGAAGCAGATTTTACTGGTAAATGTAACGCTCGAGCGGAAATTCGCATAGGTCGCAATTTCGTGCAGGTTGTAAGCATTTGTAAATTTGCAGGGATAAATCACCATGAAATACACGGCCAATAACACCCGTGTAAAAGGGCCCATAGTTACCTTCATAAAATGCCATAGTATGGCTGGCAGTCTTTCTGGCGCGCCTTTCGAATCCTCGCGCGTTTAATTTCTCCCTGCCAAGCAACTGCCAAGCAGGCTAAACAAACCAGAAAAAGTGAAAACAAAATAGGTATTAATCACAGTTATGAAATTCTACTGATACCTGATTTGCCATTTTGCCCTCTCTTTCTCTGATCTCCACTCTTCGAATTACAAAAACAAAAGATTAGTAAGCATTGTAAAAAGATGTCCACTTTACGTTGAAAAGTTGAAGGGAAAAGTAAACGTTTTATTTCAACAAAAATATACTAAAGTAAGGGTTACCTTCTTTTCACATCACCTCACAGTTCCTATTGACAACTCTTAGCTTTCAAATGTTACTGCCAAAGCAGTTTCAAAAGCTCAACTCACGAGCAAATTTTTACCACTATGCAGTTTTTTACTTTTTTAGTTTTGGAAAATAGAATATCCCAATTTGTGTGAATTTCATGAGGTGTCCGAAGGGGATACCGTCGATGTGATCTAATGTTAACCTATTCTTGCTAGCCTGCCTCAATTTAAAAAATATATAGCCCCACCACAGTTTAAATAAGCTAAGGCCTACGCCAAACGTCGAACTTTTCATGAGACGAGCCAACCTCTAATTTGGGTCGACCTAAATTAAGTTAAGATCGTCTGTTGGGTCAGGTATCGAACTTCGGCACGTCGAACCAATCAATTGAATAAGATAAGTAATAAATTTTCTCCCGCACGAGGCTAATTTTACATCATCGGGTAAATTTTTAATTTATTAGTTTAGTTCGTTGCCTGTGAAGATCGACAGTTGTACCGGAGACGATCCAAACTCATTCAGGCGAACTGACTTGTAACTGAGCCAGAGGTCGAACTTTTCATGAACTTAACTCCCTAAGTTTGGTTCGTCTCGTGAGAAGTTCGACATTTGGCCAGTAGGCCTTAATTGCAAAAAAAAAAAGAGAATTTCAAATTCAGCAAGGCAAAACTTGCTCTACTACCGGAAATTGAAACACCTAAGTTAATGCATGGAAGACTTGATCGTACCTTTGACGCTGCTCCTGACTTTCTGGCCCAGACATTAATGGAATCAAACAACTCATTAAATCCTCCTGCCTTGAAAAAGCAACAATAAAACATGGGTATTTAAATATAATCATCAAGGTAGTTCAGACCCCGCTTCAGAATGCTAGTAACCAGAAGGTTATTAGTTTCACCTCCTTTTGAGAGAGCCCTGTTAGGAAAGCGTGGATTTTAATTCCTAGTTGCACGGGTCATTGATCGAATAAATATCAGGGCCGTAGCCAGGAAGAAACCACAACCGAGGCGAACACACGGTCCGTTGTACGAAATCAGCCGTATGAAATCTTCTAATATTATCAGTCTGATAAAAAAAATAAAAATCGACAGTATTTGGTAAAATTTTACCGAGGCGAATGCCTCGGTTCGCCTCATACTGGCTACGGCGGTGAATATCATTGACTTATTTTGGATTCTCTTATTTTAGCCATGTTTAAGGACATCAGCAGGGAGTAATAGAATAACCACTAAATGCATTCAGAGCAAGGCATTTTTTCTAACTCAAAAGATTTACATTTAAAAAAGGTGTGCCACTGAATGTGTCAAAATGAAAAGATGAATACAGTATGTGAATTTTATATAATTATTTGAACTAAGGGATGAATAATATAAATTTCTATATTCACCATTATTTTTATCTTCAACTTTCTCAGGCCTATTACAAACCAATTTACTGACCAGTTCCCAGTTGGTTACCTCAATTGGTTAGAGCACCGCACTGGTATCGCGGATCAGGGTTAGAGCCCCGGCAAGCCTGAAGTTTTTTCAGGCTATCAGAGTAAGAAAAAAATGTTCTTATCCACTTGTCCCTCGGACAAGCACTATGATAAATTTGGTTTTCCAAAACCCACGAGTTCTTGTCCAAAAAGTTTTGCCAGGTTCGTAAGCCAAATGGAGCTCGTAAAATATTGAAATGGCCGCAGCAGGACAAAGGATTATTTAACTTCATTTTGTCAAGTTTGAGGTTTGCTTTTATGACTATAAGATAAATTTTAATGCTACTGTAATTTGAAGTCAATTTTCAACTGTTTTTGTATTTTTCTTAATTAAAAATGTGCTTGTCCCACGGTCAAGTCATTTCAAAGGTTTACATGTCCGTATTAAATTTCTTTGTGTCCCGGACAATCAGACGCAGGTGCTGACGCACCATGGCTATCTTTTTGCAACAGCTTAAGTTGCGTATTTATCTGTGATGATCTTCTCTGTATTTTATTTTAAGAATGTGTCATAAAAAACAAGTCTTACTTGATGATGAAGATGGTGTGGCTCATGGTACACTTGTCCCTGACTGTGCGCCTGCATGTGTCCTGTTGCAGGATCAATATAACCAGTAGCAGCCTGAGATATTACATGACGTAACCCTGGCACCTGCAATAGAATAACAGTGATCACTGAACGTGTTTTGTTCCAATTTGAAGCTGTATGGATTTAGGGGTGGGACCAAGGGCGCCCGTGGCCACCCCTTTTTTTCTGTGTCTTTTTCTACAATTTTTCATGAATTCTCAGTAAAAGAAAAAGTATCTATATAGCTGGCAAGTGTCGTGGCCACCCCTTTCTGAATTTTCTGGATCCGCCCCTGTGTCCCCCCAATTTCCTGACCAAAACCACCACAATGATAGGCATAGATATCTTGCACACGAAAAAGACCTTCTGGGTAACAAGTGTCAGAAAATTGGATAACAAAAAAAAAACCACGCCAGACTGGAGGAGTGCTTCAAAACCGCCTTTGGCACATTCAATAGTCTTTTATCAAGATTCTCGAAACTGATCTTTGCATTATTTTTAGTGTACGTTTGAAGCAGAAGCCCTGCTCAAAAAAGAAATTAACATTTACTGCAGATACCCACACAGACAGATCACATACAGTGTACCATAAAATTCCATCACCAAAAGTAACAACCCTCATTACTTTCAGAATTAGCAGCCTTTGGGACTTGCTTCTATCATGAGTTCATTACTTTTAAAATTTTAAATTAATTAAACCGTCTCCTTACTGAGTAACAAATCATTTTCCACACTGACCTGTGACTGCACATTAGCACCAACATTTTGTCCCGTCTGGTATTCAGCACCCAAACCACCACCATTCATCTGAACTCCTGACATGTACATCTCAGGCTGTGGCTGACTTGTGATGGGCATCTGATGCTGAGAAGTTGGAACCACACCTGTAGGACTACCAGCTACTGCGACAGTTGGGTACTGACCTAATAACATGAGAGATGGAAGAATATTTAGAGAAGATGGCAATTTCAGTCAGAAGATAATGAAGGTATTCCTGTGCAAAAAGTTTTTGATATCATCTTGCCATAGTAAAAAGGCTACAAAGGCTTTACTGTTCATTTTTCAACATACATGTAAACCCCTAAAAAGACAGATAAAACTTTTGCCAAAATTAATGGTAACGGTAACGCTATCTTCATCATCAAGGTTAGTGTCATAGCTGTACATACCTTGACCAGAGGATGGTACTCCCTGTTGCCCTTGTACTTGTCCAGGGGCTCCTCCGCCTGCTGCAGCCTTAGCAGCATACATATTGGCTTCTTCTTGGGCCTTCCCAATATTTTTCTTGTATCGGATTCGCTTGTTTCCAAACCAGTTTGATATCTAAGCAAATTATTTTGCATGTAAGAATAAGTCGATATTGAATCTAAAATCTATAAACTAAAAATGGACTGAACAGACAGGAATTGCAGATTTAAAACCATTTACTTCACAAAGAATATTTCAAATTCTTCCTCAACAAAAATGAAAACGATTTTATCTATGCTGTTACCTGTGCAACACTTATTCCACACTTTCTTGCCAATTCCTCCTTAGCTTCTTCACTTGGATAAGGATTACTTAGGTGAGAGTAAAAGTACTCATTCAGGATTTCTGTGGCCTGTTTACTAAAGTTTCTTCGTTTTCTCCTAGCACGAATCAATTAAATTTGTGGTTAGTTACTCAAAACTTTTACAGTTTAAAGAGATCGATGCACGCTCCTAGCAATAATACCACACACCAAAGCCCAGGGTGATTAATACAAAGTCACCTTACCGTGTAGTCTTTTTTTAAGGAGCAGTCTAACTAAATAGGGTAATTACATGCACCACTTGGGTACCATTTTGTTCCTGCAGTGCATGTAAATAGACCATAGTGTGTGTAATTTCTTATCTTAAAAGGAAATATTCAAATCCACGTGAAGGGCACTTGGAAAATTTCCAAAATAAGATACCCTAAGACTTCACTTTGATGTTGAAATTTGATACACTGTATGTAGCTGAATATGAGCTAAGAAAGCCATATTACCCAAAATAAATTCCCTTGAAATAAGATGAGGGACAAAAGGTAATGGCATTTTGGTAATACAGTGTGGGTCATTTTTACATATGGTTCTTTTGTTGTTTTTTGAACTGTTTTTCTCTTTATCTTTCTTCTTTCTAAAGATTTAATAATATTATGAAGTGTAGCGCATACATATGTTGCAGTTGTTATTAAATGCATATTTCCTGCATGAATATATGCATATTTATCTGTAAGAAAATTATCTGTACATACAGTATGGCTTGCCATGACTAGCTCTTTACTACTTGCAAGCCAATCAAAAATCAGTTTGAATCTACGGTTAAGGGTTAAAAAGGGTAAGGGCAGTCCTAAACGTACCTTGCATCTAGGAACCTTGATCTTAAAATCATAACAGCTTCACAAGTGCTCTGCTTGAGCTGCATCTGTATAGCGCTGAATTTACGATGAATGATGTTCACCATACGTTCAATTTCCTTTGGGGAGATGGGTCGTGTTCTAGACTGCTCCCTCAGTAGATTCATAACATGAGTAGTAAATTCATTGCATGCCTGAAAAAATTGAATAAATTTGGTTAGGTATTGTGCCTCCATTTGGAGTTCCATCCAAAAGCAATAATTCATGCAATTCATCTCATTTCATTTTTGACTTTAAGTCTCCATATTATTGTTACAACTAGTAGTACNAAAAAAAAAAAGCTGCCTTTCAAACTTGTAAAACCACATTTTACAGGCCGCATACTTTCGAATTAAAGTCCATATCTAAATATCAATTATCGCTTCACTGAAGGAGCTTCGAAAATATACGATCTTTTATACTCTACCTTGAAGCACGTGAAACACAACTCATAAATACGTGCGTTAATACCGTTAACGATAGCCGAATTCGGTCAGAAATGTCTTGAAGTAGCTTCAACACTAAAATATGAACGCTTAAACAGCTGCATCACTGTACACAGCGTTTGAATAATGAAGATATTTAATATAATGTTTCCAAACACCTAGTGTAGCCGTAATAAAAGACGAAAAAATTGTGAAGAATAAAGATGGCGGTCTCAAAGTGCCCTTGTTCGACCTTTAGCAATGTCATGTTTTAGTAGATGCCAAGATCTCATTGGTTCCTAAGCATCAACTCATAGTAGCTTCAACCTTACTGGCTCTTGCAACAAAGATCCGAACATACAAAGTTACAAAGCCACAAAGATACATACGGTCACACCGTATGTATGTCACACCGTATGTATGTCTATTTTTTCAAAATAGCTCAAAAATGGACTGAACAAACAGGAATTGCAGATTTAAAACAACTTACTTCACAAAGAATATTTCAAATTCTTTCTCAACAAAAATGAAACCATTTTATCAATGCTGTTACCTGTGCAACACTTATTCCACACTTTCTTGCCAATTCCTCCTTAGCTTCTTCACTTGGATAAGGATTACTTAGGTGAGAGTAAAAGTACTCATTTAGGATTTCTGTGGCCTGTTTACTAAAGTTTCTTCGTTTTCTCCTAGCAGGAATCAATTAAATTTGTGGTTAGTTACTCAAAAATTCTTCAGTTTAAAGAGATTAAATACACGTTTCTAGCAATAATACTGCATACCAAAGCCCAGGGTGATTAATACAAAGTCATCTTACAGTGTACAGTGTTATTTTAAGGAGCAGTCTAACTAAATAGGGTAATTACATGCACTACTTGGGTACCATTTTGTTCCTGCAGTGCCTGTAAATAGACCATAGTGTGTGTAATTTCTTATCTTAAAAGGTAATATTCAAATCGAGGAGAAGGGCACTTGGAAAATTTCCAAAATAAGATACCTTTAGACTTCACTTTGATGTTGATTTGATATATATATTGCTGAATATGAGCTAAGAAAGCCATATTACCCAAAATAAATTCCCTTGATATAAGATGAGGGACAAAAGGTAATGGTGTTTTGATAATACAGTGTGGGCCATTTTTACATATGGTTCTTTTGTTGTTTTTCGATTTGTTTTCCTCTTTATCTTTCTTCTTTCTAAAGATTTAATGATATTATGAAGTGTAGTGCATATATATGTTGCAGTTGTTATTAAATGCATATTTCCTGTATGAAAATATGCATATTTATCTATAAGAAAATTATCTGTCCATACAGTCTGGCTTGCCATGATTAGCTCTTTGCTACTTGCAAGCCAGCCTACTCAAAAATGAAGTTTGAATCAAGGTTAAGGGTTAAAAAGGGTAAGGCCAGTCATAAAAGTACCTTGCATCTAGGAACCTTGATCTTAAAATCATAACAGCTTCACATGTGCTCTGCTTGAGCTGCATCTGTATGGCACTGAATTTACGATGGATGATATTCACCATACGTTCAATTTCCTTTGGGGAGATGGGACGTGTTCTAGACTGCTCCCTCAGTAGATTCATGACATGAGTAGTAAATTCATTGCATGCCTGAAAAAATTGAATAAATTTGGTTAGGTATTGTGCCTCCATTTGGAGTTCCATCCAAAAGCAATAATTCATGCAATTCATCTCATGTCATTTTTGACTTTAAGTCTCCATATTATTGTTACAACTAGTAGTACTAAAACTTTGAGGACATGCCAAAATCTGAGGACAACCTAAAAAGCCAATAGAGAGGAGAAGTCATTGCGTCATGTTGCCATAATAGCAAAATTTCTGGATGACAACAAACCAAAACGTCACTTAAAAAGTGGATTCACACTGTTTCAAACTTCACCTATCTCATTTAATTTCATTTAATTTGTCAAATGTTGGCAACATTTTCTGGGTTAAATCCGAAAGGAACAACTGCCTGTTGTTGTGATCCAGAAATTTTGCTACCATGGTAACATGACATCATGCTTCTCCTCTCTATTAACCATTTAAGTCCCAATGGTGACCAAACACAATTTTCTCCTAATGACATCCATAGATTGTCAAGAGCAAAGTCTATGAGAATTGATAAAATGATCACAAGGGAAAAAAATCTTTGATCTTTTATCAAATTCTCCCAACTAATTCTTTAAGGAAATGTATGGAGATCAGTTTGGAGAATTTGTATGTGGATATTAGGGCTTAAAGGGTTAAAACAACAATAATAATGATACTTATGGTACCTACATGCATCAAAAAAGATTGTCTGGGCCTGGCACTAACACACCCTGTTTAGAGCCACAGCCAGACTAAAATCCATTCCAGCAACATGAGAAGGAGGAAATCATTAATAGCTTTTTTTTTATGATAGCTGTATATTTCTTCTTAAAACACTCCGAATGTTTCACCTAAGCAACAGTCTCAGTGTTTCAAAACTGGCTGCAGGCCTCCTATTTATGTATGTACAAAGAACTTTTTTCACGTAAAGTTTTATATTACACATATTGTACAAGTACTGTTTATGTTTTTCAAAAATACATACACTGTATAGCAAGGAAGAACTGAGTAACATTTTGAATAAAATCCAACACTTCACTAAAGAAATTTTCTAGCACACTTTACTTACATAATTATAAACTACATCATATTTGGTTTCAATATAAATGAACTAAAAAACACTACACAAAATGCATAATTAAGTACGCGTAAATAGGTCACACATGTACCTGTTCATATTTTTCCAATTCTGTGTGATATATCTGCCTGATCTGGTTTAACTTGGCCCTGTACTCTGTATGTTCAGCTTGGTTCTCATGCACCCCAGCAGCTGCTGCTGCTGCCGCTGCAGACCCTCCTCCCTTCTCAGGACCAGCCACACCCTCCGCAAGTAACATGTTGTCCAGTCTCATAAGCTGGGGGTCTGGAGGTTCATCTTCCTGTGATCCACGGATACTGAGAACTGTAACATATTAAAACTCAGTCAATAAAGTGTTCCCGCTAGGAGGAGGGCAGTCAGGTTTTAAGATAATTTTTGGCTAAGTACTGTGCTTAAAAACACTGTAGTCTTTGTTATTGTATTGGCTGTCTGACTGAAGTGAGTAAGTAACAAAGAAATGATAACGGAACCAAATATGAGAATTCAAGTGTTTTTCACTTGGTTTTAGTTTCAAATCTGTCAGAACCAATCAACACTAACCCCGGATTGATTTAAACAGTTTACGCCTTGTGGTCGCTACAGCACCAAGAATCATGGCTGTTAGCAGTCTTGGATTTGTTCTTCACAAAACAAAGACAAACTTGGTTGGCGGTTTTTGCAGCCACTTGAAAATAAAGAAATACTTTTGGCAATGAGTTTCCATGACAGAAACATTTTACGGAGCCTTTTTCTTTTTATCTTTGTTCAATATTTGCTTTTCTAATGTAACATTCCATAAAGAAACGCAGGAGCCACATACAGTCAGAGACTGTCAATTTTTGGTTGGGGAGGGGGGCAGGGGGCAGGTCCTGATATATTTTAAAAATGATTGATAATGACAATAATAAAAATGATAACAAAAACAACAACTTGATTTCTGTGTCAAATACATAAAGCAATTTTGCTAAGTGGGGATGCTAAAAAAGCAAAAATTCAAGAAAATTGTCAATCCTCAAACTGGATAAAGCAGATTGCCAGGTCTCTATTTCTGCTGTATTGTTTGAAGTCCCTTAAACAACCTGTCTTATCAAGTTAACATCCTACATGTATGCCTCTTACAGAATGCTTTCCATAAGTTAGAATAGTTGATTTGATTTCTTGTTTGATTGATTGCCTGACAGACTGAATGACTGATTGATGGACTATGTGGCTCATTGACTGAAAAGTGAAAATTTAAAACTACACACTGTAGTAATCCAGTTACATATTTGTGTGTACAAAATCTTTGTGAGACCATTTGAAAGCTACAACTGTAAAGAAGAATATTGTGTGCAGAGCAAAGCCTTAGGACTCTTAGTCTGTTTAAAAGTCAGTACAGGGCTCGAAATTGCGACGGATACGGTCGCATTTGCGACTTAATTTTTCTTATTTGCGACTAGAAAAACGAGACTAGTCGCAAATTTGCGACTAGGTTTTGCCTTAACTGATACGAAATAAAAGGACTAGCACTTGAATTTTTGCTTAAATAAATTTAGAAATAAAAAGATTCATTGAAGTAGCGTCTTATAATTTTGTTACAATCTGAAGGTTTACCGTAATTTACCTGGAATGCATACACGCAACGATATTCCTTCAACAGCACGCCATTTTCAGCGGGTTCTGTAAACATGTACATTGCAGGCTCATATTTCGTTTTGATTTGCCGCTGACAGTCCCGCCAGCATGCTGAGGACTTTTCCCGCGTTTATGACCCGCGTTACGGCCCTCACAGTACACATGTGTTCTTCTTTAGTGAGTCAATTATGTCGGATGAAAGCGACTTAAATTGTTTCAAAGGTCACATTTTAAACGAAGATTTACATGTAAAATAAATCGGTTCAAAGTGGGTTGCGAATCTACGTATACATGAAAACGAGGTTTAGCAAACAAAGATGGCGGAATGTCCGCATGGCACGTATCGTCGTATTGAATGATTCAGTCCTTCAGGGTTCTTTGAATAATCACTGTAGTAACACCCCTGATACTTCAGATGTAAAGCTTAATATATAAAAGAATTCGTTACTTGTTTTGTCATCGGTGGAAAACCTGCAAAAGGTAAAACTAAAGGAATTTAGTTACGTAACGTAACTTATAACCATGTCGGATATCCGCCCAGTACAAATGTTATTGCTATTTTGCAGAGATTGGAGGCATTTAAGAACTGCAGTTTCCTGCTGTAATATCTGTTCATGATTTGGAAATCTATCGCTTTGACTAAAATAACAGACACTAATTTATGTGCCTTAACGCAGGTTCAACTTGATCGTTTAGATGAACTGGTGTTGTCCGAGACGCTAAACGTTCTGTACTATTAAGTCTCGAAATGACATGAAAGCTGTTGAAAGAATGAAAATTAAAGCGTTAATCATTTAAAAGCCTACTTATTTCTTGATTAAATGGCCTCAATTAATTTCGCGACTAACATTTTCAAAGTTGCGACCAAATTTTCGTAACTAGTCGCAAATTTGCGACCAGACATTTTTTTTAATTTCAAGCCCTGCAGTATGAGAATTCTTGGATCAGGGCTAAAGTATTCGGAAACATCATTTGCTCTCTGCATATAGATCACGATTATACCCCCAAAATCAATATTGCTGGCCAAAAGAAAACCACAAAATTCCACTTTTCATAACAAATTGTGTTGAGAAATTTCACCATCAAAAATCATGAGGAGTCAAGGAAATAATAAATTCTTACTGTCAGTGATAGTTGTCATATTGCCAGATTTTCCCTTTCATTTGAATGTGTTGCGTGTTTAAGAAAGTTTGATGTACTTAAATAATTCTTAAATGAAAAGCTTCATACAAATGTAAACATGTATGTAACAAAAGTTTAATGGTCGCCTTACAAGGATGGAAAATGATATAAAAAAAACTAAAAGCACCACTTGACAGTATCATCTCAGCACAAGAAATCATCCTTTGTATTATGCTTAAAGTACCACAACAAATTTGGCTATCTAATGTTTGCAATGCTTCACTGTTGAAGACCTGCATGAGTCACTCATCACAAAAATCTTATTTAGTATTGGGGTAACAGCAGAATTTAATACAACTGAAAAACAGCTGAGAAACTCAAACAACATTAAGATGAGAGACCACGAGTGAACATAATAAGCTCTCAAAGCAAAAAGCTAAGTGAACCACAGCTTATAAATATCATTAACATAACAAAATAAATGTGTGTATATGCACCCCATTTACATTTTACAATGTTTTGATGATTACTTCAAGTTTTATAATGACCCACTTAAAAACAGGCCCACAGCAAAGAACTTAATTGCATTATATACAAATTTTCACAAAGATGCTAAAACCAGTGAAAATTTCCTTTGTGGAGAAAATTTCTATTATTGTAGTGATTTTAAAGCAAGCAACATTTTTGTTACTATATATAACAGTAACATAAAAAAATACCGTTGTGGTTCTAACTTGTGTGGCACTAGCTAACTGAAACTGAAAAAAAAAAATTTCAAAGATTGACAAAAAATGTTTTGTGATTCCACAAGCGACTACGAAATCTTAGTTTCATATAAAAACAATTTATGCTGGGAACCCTGGTTTTTCACAGGTTCAGAGCTTTGACTTCCCTTCAATTTGTTTATAGAACAGCCTTGAGAACCCCTTCAATTTTGTCTCTTACCATGTCCACGCAAAAGTGTATGTTTACTCATGCATGTACCTTAAATGATTACTTCCACTATGAAGTGTTTCTCTTAATCTCTTTAAACATTCAGGTTTTTTTTCCTGAGGTGTACAGGTAAGCAGTCAACACTGGACACATCTATGACAGAAATCTCTATAAGATGGATGCCTATAGAAGATGGACTCTTCCTTAAACAGACTCAAGACTTGAATCCCTGCCACTCTTCAGTCTTTTAAGTTGATTCTCCGCAAGGTGGATACCTTTCTAAGATAGCAGTTGTTGCTGGTCTCAGCAACATTAACATTACTGTATATATACTGTTTATTGGAATGCACTTCCAACAAAAATACATGCTCAGCTTCTTTCCACTTTAAGCTCCTTTTTAACATCTATGTCATATTAGTTTATATATTTTGTATTGACTGTTTTTTGCATTTTATTTTTGTAAATGAAAGTGATATAATATTAAGCTGATAGAAACTGAAATGTTGTTAGGATTGTAAAATAATGAAAAATAGAAAGGATGACAACATATGTCATGGGTCAAAACTACATTCAGGTAAAAGTTTTTAAACCTGTAGGTTGATTCTTAATTTCCTTTGTCTCCTAGCCCTAATACATGGATATTTAGGGCTAGGATACAAACGAAATTGAGAATCAACCTAGGTTAAAAAATTTTAACCTGAATTTTATTTTGACTGGTAACATACATGTATACACTTCTCAATGTCTTTCCAAGAAGAAATCACAAACTTCTTAAAAATAACTACAGTGTAATTAACTAAAGAATGTATTTAAACATTAGTAAAAATACATGCCACAACTCTCTATACAAGTAAATAGGGTCCAGGACTGGGTTATTTTTACAAAATGTTAGTTGTTGAAAAGAATTTTTTATTACTATGTTATTATTTAAATGTAGATGTATACATGTAAGTTGTAGTTTTCTTTGGTTTGAAAAACCAGTTTATCTTGAGTTTTCCTCTGACTCAGATAATTTGTGTTAATTGTTGTGAGACAATAAAAAAATTTTAAATCAAAGAAAAACTTGAGCCAGAACATACATAAATAGTTACCTTAATAATAAATGCAAACGCCCACATCTACAAAGCATTTTCTCCCCTTATTCTAGACATCTTCATGAAAACAGAGGTTTTGCACTTAGCCTCATTTTGAAACAGAGAGTTTTTGGAACTCAGGAATCAGCAGCACCCAACGACTGTTTTCTATAGAATATCTGTTCAAAGAACCAAATGTTACCAAGAACTTTCTTTTACTTGAAAACAGCTTTAGAAAAATTTCTTGATGACTGTTCCATTCACGTACAATTTCAAAGCTTATCCTTTAAATTCCCTACGAGTTTCTGAAGTTTAATTTTTCACATTTCACTCCACAGGTTGGGCTATTTTTCATAGAAAAAATGGAAACCTAAACTTTTTGCATTCAAAAATGTAATGGAAAGAGGAATCAAAAATTCTCACTTTTGAAATACATTTAAAAATATACACACAAAACATTACTCAGTTTTGATTGGCTGAGAAATTAAAGGAGTGCAGTTCCAAAAACCCATTGCTGTTATACATACGTAAATGCACATCTAAAATTTTCGGGAAAATACTACTGGAGCCCTTGTAATCTCAAAAAGACTCAAGTTTTCCTAGGATGACCGAACAGATACAAATTTTATAGCCCCACTTAGAATGCATTTCTAGAGATCTAAAAGTACTCTAGATAGCCTAAAAATGTTTCAATATATTTAGGATGAAATCATCATTGGGTTACCCCTTTAGAATGGCCTATTTTACTTCACAGTCTTTTTTTAGCCCAAAGTACAACTTCCTTCTCTCATAAGTTTAGAACCAGCCAAATATGTCACATGCCAATCAGTTTTTATACCTACCAGGGCTGCAAGCCAGGTTTTTTTTATTTTTGAGTCTCCAAATAAAAAATTACAAGTTGCAAACCTTCTTTGTGAACGAGATGTTTCTAAAAATGCTTTTGTTGTTGTTTCCACCATTATTGTTATTCGTGTTCCAATTAATCAATTTATTATCCCCAATTAAATTGCATGCAACAGCATGTCTTTCTTGTTTTTGAGTAAACAGATCTTTACAGTAACATCAATAAGTACTAAATGAGGTTTAATGAGCCCAAAATTACCACATACCGTGAGATGAATCTTAAAACTTAAATTATAACATCGCGGCCTTTACCACACAAACAAGTCCTCCATATTAAACGGCTTTCTGAACAGAGAGATTTTAAAACCTTTTCTTGACTCTAAAGAGGACAGCAGTGTCAATGTACTGTAGCTGAGAGAACATGGTATCACAAAAGAGTAATAATCAGTTGCCAGATTCGAAAAACCTCCAGACTAAAGATATACATTATTTTTAACTATCACTGCTTTACTTCAAATATATACTATTAATTAAGTCAGTACTTGGGGTACATCTTAACTGTGTGATGACCAGGCGAACAGGCATATACATATTAAACTTCATTCGATGTTACATCCACACCTTAGATGGAATGATGAATGCATCACTATTTGTATGCCGTCAAAGGGCATTAATTCTCAATGAATCTTAATTTTCCTGAATTTAAACACTGCATTAATCTTAATGCTCTGTGGTTTACTATCATTGTTCTACCACAAACCATTACTTAATTAGAATGCTTCAAAAAAAACTCTTCATATCATAAATGATCTTACATTATATGTAAGTTACTCAAGTTGCACTGTAAGAATGGTAACTTTCACATGATTTGTTTGTCTCCATGTTTGAATACAATTTTGGATATTTTACTCCAAAATATAGATACAAAACCCAAACAGGAAGAAGACAATTTGCCTAGGATCAAACTTGGGGTTTCAAGGCTTAATCAGTGAACAAACTAAAAAAATTGAGAAACAAAAGCTCGCTCTTCTCAAAGATCTTAATTAAAGTCAGGATGTTACATGTGGAGCTAAGATTCTGCTCTTTATGATTGGCTGCTTCAAAGCAGGATTGCGTTGTCTACACTTAACACATCCGACTAAAAGCATGCTCGGCCCATGTGCCTATAGCACTTTTTGAGTCCAGTTGCCAGTAAAAAAATCGAACTGTTTTGGATAAAGAATTGTGAGGTAATTATCAAGATGAAATGATCCCTTTCATACAAATGAAAAAAATCAGTGCACCTGTTAAAAGACTTAAAAAGTACTGAACTCTTAAGTCCTGCAAATAAATCTAGACCAAACAAACGGAAATATTATGGAAAGATTTAATAACGAAATTGGATCCGTAATCCTGGTAGAGCTTTTACGCTGAGATCACTTAACCGTTACGCTGCCTTTTCCCAACTTTGTGGACAGGTAAGAATAAAACTTAAAGTACAATTAAAACGTAAGGTAGAGTCCGAGATGTATAAAAATCGATCTATCAAGAGGAGAGAATTAAACCTATATTACAGGTATTTTGTTTGGGTAGGATCGAAATCTATTGTTTGCGAAAGGAAACCCGGCAGACAAACAATAAACATTAAAGACATTCTATTATGCTAACACCAAAATAAAAGCTTAGCGCCACCATGTATAATCGCCACCTACTCATGCAATAATCACAGCCGTAAGGGCAATCGAGTGAAAAAGGGGGAAGTAGCAGCTTTCAACGTACCGAGAAATTTATGGTTGCATTGAAGACAAAATATTGAATTGATAGAGGTCTTCTTCACGGAATTAAACACGTTTTTACGAGCGTTAACGCGTCATCAATTCTCGAGACAAACAGTAATCCTAATTGCCGATCGTGTGACAAAGTTAAAGTATTTCATGGGGACCTTGTGAGATTAATTTACGGCTCTATTAAAGATAATCGCCCCAAAGAGAATTAGTTCGATGAGAAAATCGCCCTGTGAATTGATATCTATACGTGTTGGATAACAAACCAAAACAGGGGAAAATAAAAAATTGAAGGACTATCGATAGAATGAGGGGAAGTGTGTGTAATGTACGTGCAGTAAGCTTTAATTCCTTGAGCTTGTGATGAATCGTTCTGTCGAGGAACTGTGCAAACAAAACTCGGGGATTTACTGAATACCTCAGGATTACAGAAGCAAACTACAGCGATGGAAGAAAGGTCTCTAAAAACCAAAACACGTGTGTTATCAAGCTGTCATTACTTGCCTGTTTTTTCCTTGATCTCGCACAGGACGTTGAAAAGGGCGGGCTTCATGCGATGGCAGTTCAACGCGTGCTTCCTAGAGGAGAGGAGATGTGTGATTAGAAAACAATGAATTATCATAAACCATAACGCATGCAGTCAAAAGATCGACAGCTAAGAGTATACACAAGAGTAAACTGAACAAGACTAATGTCACTACAGCACGTCGGCAGTGGCAAGAAACGGAGACGAAATTTACGACGTATTCGATTTCACCTTACCTTGCTTGCGCTTCGTCCAACGACTGATCTGTAATGTTCATAATTTGTTGTAAAATGTCGCCGATGTCCTGCTTACGGCCGTCCGGACCTTCTTCAGAAGCTTTCATTTGCTCCATGGCCGCTTGCTGGCCAGACATCATCCCGGGAACTTGCACTGAATTCATCACGTTTCCTTCCATAACGCGGCAAGATTTGGCTGTTGGCAAATAAACGTTTGGAACAATCCAAGATGTCCGCGCGCCCGAGGCAGTGACGAATTTCGGAACGTCCGCTGCCGGTCAAACTACAAGTCCCTTCCTTGTCACTTTTCGACCTCAGATCCTTTGAAAGAAACAACACTTTATGATAGCTGTTATATTTCACAGAGTGTTACGCTCGGTTGGCGGTCGTGTTTCCAATCTGCCACTCAACTCTCTGTTGAAGCTCGAACGTGTCAATATCTTTTGCATGCGTGAGAAGACTGCGGATGATTGACACCACAAGTTTTCTTACTCAATTAGCATAAAAACCTTCATGTAAAATTCATAACTAGAAACACACAAAGTGCCGTGTTCCACGCAAACAGACTCACCTTCTTACGCTGAAAGATTTCCTGCTTAAATAGGAAAGTCGACTTCGCGTTTCTTGGTAAAAGAATTCCCCTGCAGCTATGACAAACAAAAGGGACGCCCGAAAATTTCCAAGATGGCGGACGACGAAAGACAAAATGTCAATATTCATTACAGTTGCTATGGTAGCAAACTGCAGGTGTTGTTTTGTGACAGAACAAAGGATCGGTTGAAAGAAATACATACAATGGAACAATAAGCCACAAAAATGAAACAAAAATATAACATTTATGGAACCTCACGCTTTTATCGGGACACATTTTATTACATAGTAAGTTATAATGTAAGTGAACATGAAGCAATAATAATTGGTGAAAAATATTTAAATTCCCGACTGTAAATTCAGCCTTGCTTCTTTTGTTTAATAATAAAAGTGTTTTCTTCCTTTTTTTTAATCTTTGACGGCTATGCTCTGAAGCCCCCAAAAGACGCAGATCGATTTGAGCAGTTTCGAGGCTGTGTTAGGTGTACTTCAAGCCTGTGTGGATCGGACAGCAGGCTTTTTATATCCATTTTTAGCGCTTTATTCACGAGTACATAGTTTTGTGCGGGTGGGTCTTTTGAGCGGTTAGTGCTGGATCGTGGATCTCATATTACGCGGTAATTCTCGGTTTTTTCAGCCGGTTTTGTTTTATTTTTCTAGGTCATTTTTTTTTTATATAATTTCACGATAATTATTTTGGCTCCATCAAGTCCCCCTGCTTTGTTTCTCTACTAGCTCCCAGTAGCTGATATAAAGTACAGAGATTCGGACATACATTAGATACAAGCTCTTTTGCGCCTTTCCGGAAACAGGTGCCACTGAAATTGGGGAATCAATACCCAGAGGTTAAGGGGTGCACCTATGTGGTGCAAATAAAAAGTGTCCTTGAAAAATATAAGGATTTTTGTTCAAATTCGGTTTTTTTAGTATGTTATTTGGATTAAGTAAATTTTTATATGTAAAAGTTTTAAGCCGTCAAGCTCAGGTTGATTAGGTATATGTAGTCGATCTAGATTCAAAACATAGGTTAAGAACTGATCATCCGGTGGCTCTTCCATCTGTGAAAAACCCGTTCCCAAGTACGTCTCCTATATCCATCGCTTCGTGAGGAAATACTGTAGATAACGGTTAAAAGGAAATACTGGAAGCGAAATGTAAACTTAGAAACTTATAATTATATAACCCGTCCAAAGAGTATGCTAGTCGTTTCAGACCTACTGATGAAAGCTTCCGGCTTCCGTTAGGCGGCTCAGTGAAACAGTTTTTCGTAAATGCAATGTAAATTTCTACCTCAGTTGCTGTGGTAGTCATTGCCATCCCTGCGTTCAAAAGATTTGGCCAGTGTTTATCCACGAGTTGTTTGTGCATGCACGTTTTTTCAGCTTTTTTTCATGCGTGACCCCTTTAAGACGCGAATTCTTTTGTCTGCTCACACCTATGTACATCGATCACTGATTATATTATACGAAAAGCTGAATAGAGCTTGCTAAGGAGTGAACGCTAAAGTAGGGCATAGAGATTACGGGTTTTTAATACTCTGTGATACTTTTTTTCGCGCATCAAAAAACTAATCTGAGACGAGAATCACATTCTCTAACTGCCACACCTTTCGAGGTGGGCTGTTTACCTCCTGGTATTCACAAGGAAAAGAAGAACCGACATTGGGGAACCTCTAGAAGAAAGGGATAGATGGGAAGTGATCAGGAGTGCAATGCGCATTGCAGTGGAAAAACACTTTTTGCAAGCTGCTGCTGTAGCCTTCCCGGCTTCTTCTAATGTGGCGGCTACTCTGCGAATAGGAACTGTAGAACGCTTCGGTGGCAATAATAGGACAAAAATCGGTCCCTGAGCTAGATGGAGCGCGAGTAACACACGAGCAAACGCTCCCACCCTCTTTCAACCTAACATTTTTCGACCCTTTCGTGGCCCGATTTCCCCTCCTCCCAACAACAACAAAAACAACAGCAACAAGAGAAAATACATTATTTACGGGGTTACGCGGAGGCTAATGAACAAATTCATCAAACACCAACACTGATGTATCTTTTTTAACATTTGATAAATAAGTACTAGGATGCCACATTCAAAAGATATGTGACGAATGTACTATTTCTCAGCAGGTATTTATGACCTCCTACCGTTAAATCATTAAGGTTATTTGTGACTCATAAGTGTAGTAAATTTAACATCATCAGAAAGCACTTTTTCGTGCTTGGAGCCCATTCATCCAGATCCAGCCGGCAATCTTGTTTCAGAATCCCTGACTGGAAAGGAAGAAAGACCCAGGTAATCACGAGGTTTCACCTTGACGCAGCGTTAACTAAAACGCTTAAATGACTCATTGCTGCCTGATGAGTGCTTCTCCACCCTTTTCAAAAAAACATTTTCATTTGCTTAAATGTTTTTTTTTTGCCCCTAAGGGACGATAGTCAAGTGAGACTTTTTTCATTATTTTGGCATTATTTTCAAAATTTTGGCACAACTGCTCCTGATCGTAAGCCGAGAGATCAAATCTTTTGAGTATATAAGTTCGCATTATATTGGGGCAACAACAACAAAACAAGAAAATAAAGCTTACGGTCTCCTATCACTAATTCCGTTTCTACTATTATAGAGAAGGAAAAAAGATTAATTAGGGCGTAATAAGTATTAAATGTAATAGTAAATAACGAAAATCAGCGTAAATAAAACTACATGCTTACAAATCAATTTTTGTTTTATAGAAACTCGTGCACGCTGCTTTTAATTTACGAACAAGATGTCTCGTCCCCAGGCTCCATAGTGATATCTTGCCGAAAAACGGAGACTGCGGGGCGTTATGGGAAAGCTGTACTGCATTCTTCCCTTGACGCGCGCAGCACAGAAGCAAAGATGCATCATAGCCTTGGAGACAAGGCAGAAGCGGCCAAATTTTACTGCGGTCAATTGCAATAATCGTCTAAGACATTTTTCGTTATTGTTGTTTTACTTGAAACGATTTCTTTTATCGTTAAGTGGAAACATAGGCAAGGGTGCATAAATAATTAGTTAACTTCATTATCTTTCAAATTTTCTCAAACTTTTATGCTTCTTCTGATGAAAGACGTTTCGCATTGTAACGGGACCTTTTCGGCCGGGAGTATTCCTTATAACAAAGGGGAACCTTTCTTTGACTTTGGGTTTGTATAGGAGAAGGGATTTCACCAGTTGAAGGATGTGAGAGGGTAGAGAGAAATCTGTCATTTATTAGCTATGCATTTAAAAAATAGTTCCAATGGACGCATCTTATCATATTATACCATAGGGTTTGGTCGGTTTCCAGGAGGAGTGATCGAATGAGGGCAAAAATCAAAACCCAAAATAAATCCCTGGACGAAAAATCCAAAAAAACTCTCATGCCGAATTTCCGAGCCTTAAAAATTTCCATAACGCATTAAATGATATAACAAGCCTGCGAAAACATCCGTTTCTCCTCGCTCTTCGTCGCTGAGGACGTTTCGCGCGGAAACGTCCTCAGCGACGAAGAGCGAGGAGAAACGGATGTTTTCGCAGGCTATGATATAACAAGGAAAATAAAAACATTAGAAATTGAATGTTTGTGTTTTTTTATTGACATCATACTATCGGAAGTTATCTTTTCAGCATCTCAGTGG